GTTTAAGTTCGCTTGTTCAGTTGTTCTGTGGGGAGGGTGGGGCACAGCAGACAAATGTCACTGGCGTGTGTGGGGAACACTCGCAGTGTTCCAGCCACACTGGGTTTGTACCCGCTTGCAGCATGTGTGCTTCCCCCCTCTACACTGCTCAGGGTCCAGGCTGCTCTCCAGGGAGCAGGCCCTGAGTTGCGTGCACTTCCCAGGCCTCAGCCATTCAGATTCAGGTTTTTGGGTACTCCACAAAGACGCAGACTCAGTTGGGCCTGCGTTTTGTGCCTTCCCCGCCCAAGCAGCTCAGGCAGCTACGAGCTTGACGAGTGCGCTCTCCCCGGGTGCAGCGTGCATTATCCCCTCTGCGGTCCCGGCGTCAGTTCTGGGCACGCTGGTCGGGTGCGCCTTGTGTCTGTTCTGAGGAGCTGGACTCTAGCTGTGACCCTCCCGGCGGATGTCGACCATCCAGTATCTCAGAAAGTCTTTAGTTAGAAGCTGGGAGCCTGTTTGCAGTTTGGTAGGGGATGCGTCTCTGGGGCCGTTTGCCCCTTTCTCCTCCGCCCTGCCTCCTGCCTCTGGTGGGGGATGGGCCGGTCTGTAGCCGGCTAGCTCTTCTCTGGTATTTGCTCAGTCCTTCGTTCTGGGAATGGGCGGGTAGTGCCTAAATTTAGGGCTTCTCCCAGGTTAATTCTCTCTCTCTTGCTATCCCACAGTTTAAGTTGCTATCTCACATTAGCTCCCTCCAATTGCCCTCAGGGCATTCAGGCCCAGTCCTTACCCTAAGCAATACCACCTTCTCCTCTCTGCTTTGCCCCCACTTGCTGGTGATGGATGCAGGCATCTGGGGTACTTTTCTGCTGGGAGTTGCTTTTAGGCATGTAATCTGTGGATTTATTTTTCCTCCCAGTTAGGTTGCCCTCCTAGATTTGAAAACATCCCCCAGACCCGCCAGTGAGAGGGTTTCCTGGTGTTTAGAAACTTCCTCTATTAAGACTCCCTTCCTGGGACGGATCTCCATCCCTAACTCTGTTGTCTTTTTATCTTTTATATTTTGTCCTACCTCCTTTCGAAGACAATGGGCTGCTTTTCTGGGTGTGTGATGTCCTCTGCTAGCAATCAGAAGTTGTCTTGTGGAATTTGCTCAGCGTTCAAATGATCTTTTGATGAATTTGTGGGGGAGAAAGTGGTGTCCCCGTCTTATTCCTCCGCCATCTTAGTTCCCTCCTCCCAGAGTGTGTTTCTTTAGGTTTCTCTAAGTGTGATCCATGAATCAATCTCCTACAATAAAACCTTGTGAGTTGCTGGTTTAATGAGTCTCAGGCACCAGTATATGTCGTGGAAGTAGAAGGCAAGACTCAGTTTTTGAGAGACGTGATATGTATCAGTGGGATGGGGTGGACAGAAGGCAAGAGGATGACTCAGGGTTTTGGCTCAGCAGCTGGGTAGGTGGTAGTGATGTTGAGTGGATAGAATTGAAAGTGAATGGGTTTTTATTGTTAGTGGTTTGGTTATGGTAAGTGCTGTTTGGCAGTGAATATAAAATCAGGAGTTTTGCTTTAGACATATTTGAGAGATTAAATAGAAACAAAAAAAAAGAAAGAGGAAACTACAAAGGAATAACTGAGACTTACTAAATTTACAACTATGTTTAAGATCTAGCCATGCTGTTTCCTGTGTATCTGTTATGTATTTAATGGCTGTACAGGACCTGGTATCTCAACAAATGATTATTTCCCAGATCACTTCCAACTCCTGCCACCGGAAACAAAACAGCAACAAGCATCTGCCTATATGTCCCCTGTCATACAGTAATCTATGTGTGTGTGTATATATATTACTGTAATACAGTAATCAATATATATGTTGTGTGTGTCTCTATCCTCAGTTCCTGACAGTGTTCCTAAAATCCTTAAACTCTGAAGTGATAAGAGCACTAAGAACATCTCTTCTGTCAAGATGATTTTGAGTGGGCTCTTGGATTGGACTCATAACCAGACAGACCAAGCCATGCTTAGAAGTGTAGAATTTTCAGTCCCACTTCCCCATCCTCCTGAGAGGGAAAAGGGCTAGAAACAGAGTTAACTATTGATCAGGCCTATGTAAGGAACCAGAGAAGGCAATGGCACCCTACTCCAGTACTCTTCCCTGGAAAATCCCATGGACAGAGGAGCCTGGTGGGCTGCGGTCCATGGGGTCTCAAATAGTCGGAGACGACTAAGCGACTTCACTTTCACGTTTTGCTTTCATGCATTGGAGAAGGAAATGGCAACCTACTCCAGTGTTCTTGCCTGACAGTGGAGCCTGGTGGGCTGCCATCTATGGGGTCGGACAAAGTCGGAAACGACTGAAGCGACTGAAGCGATGTAAGGAACAGTAATCCCAACAGTATGGTTTGGAGATCTTCTACGTTGGCAAATACATCCACTCTGAGAGGGTGATGCACTCCAATTCCACAGCAACAGCAGCTTCTGTACCAGGACTTTTCCAGACCTCACTCTTCATCTAGCTGCTCATGTGTGCTCTTCATCATTTCCTTTAGAAACTGACAAATGTTAACTGTTTCCCTGAGTTCTGTTAGCCACTTCAGCAAAATTACTGAACCAGAGGAGACATACTTAATGTGACCACATACTACCAGTTTCCTCTCTAAAACAGCTATACCATAAAGAAAACCATCGACAAAACAGACAACCTATTAAATGGGAGAAAACATTTGCAAATAACGTGAATGATACTGTTCAACATAAATTAATAACCTATGCAACTCATCATCAAAAAAAATATCTAATTTAAAACTGCACAGAACTGAATAGACATTTTTCCAGACGAAAAGCAGATGGCCAACAGCACATGAAAAGATGTAATATTGTGTATCACTACAATAAGAGGCAAGGAAAAAATTGCACAAACAGCTCAAAGAAATCTGTAGTTTACTTAATAGTATTGCATCATTAATTTCTCAGTTTTGATAAGTGGTTATGCAAGATATTAACATTAGAGGAAGCTAGGTGAAGGATGTACATGACTTGAAATTCTTTTAAAAATATAAAACTATTTCCAAAAACAATGTTAGAAAAGAAAAAAAAACCATCACCATTTACTACTTTATATGCAAATAAGACATTTAAGAATGACATGAAGCTAATATAAAAAATAAACTAGATGTGAGGGCTTATAAGACTGTTGCACATAATCTGAATCCCAATTCTAAGTTCATCAAAACAACTTCACTGTTCATCAAACCAACCCCATTTTTCTTGAGTGCTAGTTGTCACTTCCTTCTCTAGGGGTATTCCCCACCCAGGGATTGAATCTGGGTCTCCTGCACTGCCAGTGGATTCTTTACCAACTGAGCCACCAGGGAAACCCTATTTTATATATTAGGTACCCATACAAAGATTTCAATAGGAAAAAAAGACCTGAAACTAAAAAGGTTTGACCAACAAAATCATTTATGCCACCTAGTGGTGACTGAAATAAATGACTGTTAACTTAAAATAAGATTTGAGAATATCTGTACTTAAAAATAAATAAGGCTTAACTGGGAGAAAATGTTGACAATACCTATTATTACATATCATTTAGATTAAAGGTATTAAAAAAATAGGATATTTCAGTAAAATCAGTTGAGTGCTTAGTTGTTCAGTCATATCTCTTTGAGACCCCATGGACTGCAGCCCACCATGCTCCTCTGTCCATAGGGATTCTCCAGGCAATACTGGAGTGGGTTGCCATGCTCTCCTACAGGGGATCCTTCCACCCAGGGATCAAACCCAGGTCTTCCATATTGCCAGCAGATTCATTACTGTCTGAGCCACCAGGGAAGCCCAACATCAGCTGAAGATTAATTTAAAGAGTAACCTGGTGGCATGAATGAGCAAGCAGGCTCTTCAGTCATTATTTTCGTTATGGAGATTTCCTTAAAACACAAAAACTGAGTTCCAATTGGAAAAGAGGGAAAAATAAAGGGGCACTGAAGGTACGGAGAGTATTCTTGAATGATGAGGATTAATAAAACAAACCTAGAAACTAAGGTTCCTTAAAGGCAGTCAGCCACTCCTGGTATGTGCAGGGATGAAAAAGAAGGACGAGGGCAATGTGGCAGTAACAAAGAGAATGTAAATGGAGTTCTCAAAGGGCCTGGGTCCTACTCCTTGGCTCTGTGAGTGTTCTTGCACACTTACCCTTTCTGAACTCCCAGACCCAGATCTATAAACTATACAACAAAGGGACTTCTTTAAACTTTAATATTAACTTAATTTTAATGTTAATTAAATTTAATTCAATTGAAATTTTAATATTCTATCCCCTGGAGGAAATGGCAACCCACTCCAGTATTCTTGCCTGGGAAAACTCATGGACAGGGGAACCTAGTGGGCTACAGTCCATGGGGTCACAAAGAGTTTGATGGACACAACTGAGCATGCATGTGCGCACATGCACTCACAGGCAATCACAATAAGAAAAATATTCTTGAATCCAGAATTACTCTGGAAGTATTAACAAAATAAGCAACAGCACTTAATTTCCTGGTGCACAGTAAGTACTTCATCAATGTTAACTATTAGCAGATAGGAGACTTAGGGAGACAGAGGGAAAACAAAAGGAACAAAGAGCAAGAGAAAGAAGGGAAAGGGAGTCCAGCATGCAGTATTTTCTAGTCCCAGCTCTCACACACAAATACACATTTAAATACCTTCCTCATAAATGTGAACCAAAAATACTCTTACCATCGTTCTGTATGATATATTTCTACACTTAAAGAATTATTATTATTTAAGAAAAATGCTATTACAACCTTTTTGATAAGAAGCAAGAAAAAAAGTCTCTTTACACTCATTTTTATTAAACAAATAAGGCTGGTGGTGGAACTTTTTTTATTTAATGCATAAACATAAGTCTCTTTATTAGAGAAATTGTACATATTGGTGAATATAGTCAATGGTCACTATGGGTTAATTCCTTAAAAATCAGAACCAATAATTAGGATAGATTCTATGCTCTCTTTGTTACATTGTGAAGTGTCTTGTGTAGTCATATTCTATTGTTGGAATGACAGCTTGTACAAATTTCAAGAAAATCAGAAGATACCTAAAGGTTTTTAGCTAAGGAAAACAGATTGGTAAATAGTTCTGATTTAAGCTAACATTGTAATTATCCATTTTATTAAGCAATAACTCCTCAGAAAATATATAGAAGACAGAATCTTAAATCAAGTATATTAAGAAAACATTCATTCATGCAAGCTGGTGTCTATTCAACACAAGGCTCTCTACAACTTAAGAATGTCTGACTTATCCCGATTTAATATTTGCATGTTAAGACTTCTTAAAGAGTACAAGTTCTTATTAGCCCAAATATTTTAATATATAAATAAGGACATTGTTGCACAAATTTAAATGAGTGGGAAATGGCTTTTTTTACTGTCTATAAGTTTTTTAGAGTATGTTAGAAAATGAGACAGTGTGGAGAATATAAAAATACTGAAGCAAAAGAACAAAAAATAGGTAAAAATCCTCCATAAGGACTGATTCTTGGTTAGTATATGTACCTGCCATAGCATCTGCTATACTGGACTGTCTTTAACAAATTCCTGATTTTTTTTCCTATGTTCCAATGCACTTAGAAACATTAAGAGCTTAATTTTTAATTGATGACAATTAGAATTACAGAGTCTTCCAAGTTGCTATATAGCTTCAAAAATAGAGATGAATGCTCATATTATGCATAATAGGCTTTCAATAGTAAATCTGGTTTGGACCAAAAACTCCCGGTTGTTTCAATATCACCTCAGCTCAATGTTTCTCTGAGGGATACACAATCTATTGGCAATGCTCATGTTATCTATAGTTCCAAGACAGTGGCAACCCCTCAGTCTACATCTAACAGTGAGTGGCATGAACCACTCATTCAAGATGTTTGGTATTTAAACCATTGACTTTGGCTGCTTTTCACAAATCCAGGCTATGGGCATGTGTATTTTAGGACCCAGTAGTTAATTCCTCTTGCCAACCCCAGAAAAATAAATGGGTGCTCATATCTGGAGAAAAATGAGAATACTGTATTTGAAGACTACCTGAAATAGAATTCATGTGCTTTTTACTTTTCTTCACTTCAGAGATCTCAGATCGACAAGACCCAACTTTACTTTTTACCTGATAGAAAAGTACACTTTTGACAACCTGCTAAATTAGGAATATATCTGAGGAAAAGATATTCACGTGTTATCCTCTAAATTCACAGGTTACTCATCTTTCATCAACAGATTAAGCGTTTTGACTTTCTTTTTCATCAAGAGTTAACAGTTATGAATTGCATACTCTCAGCCATTGCCTCCTGAACAAACAAAGGCACTTGGCAAGCTGCTACCTAGAAGCACATATTGCTCTGTAAGCTCCGTAACAAAGCAGAGTGAACTGGTTCACACAGGGACATGTGTTCAACAACTGAACGAGGCCAGAACTATCACAATGCAACATCTTCCAAAGACTCCCACTAAGATTTCCACATATGAGGGGCTAAATTTCTCAAAAAGGGCAAAAAAAATATCCCAGAAGCACTTTGCCCCAGTCACATACACAGACAGGTAAGGATACATATGAACACCAAGTTCTCCCCCTCCTTCTGCAACAGTCTCAATGATTTTCTTCATCACCTCAGCATGCCTAAATGTAAAAGAATAAATATTAGTATAGATCAACTGGATCAAAATAGGAAAAGAAAGTTTTTGTTTGTGAAAATTTTTACTGTCAGTGATTTTAATATATAACAGTAATAATGTAAAATATTCTCCTCTCTACTCCCCAACAAGCCAGACTGTTGAGTCATGTAGACAATTTTACTGGGGGAAGGGGTAATTTTAAAAAGCTATGGTAGTCACAAAGGAACACAATGGAACTAGTTAGCTTTCCTATAATGGGGGTGGAAGGGGGAGTAGGGCAGAAAACCAGAGAAAGGGAAATCATGCCAGGGTACAACTACAGAGCAAGGGCTTTCTGCTCTGAGAAAAAAACAAGAATCCAACCAGACAAATTCAAAAAAGTTACATGAAAACGGTTGGTTAAAAACAACAACAAAGAGATATTTATAATGCTGTGATTTTTGACTGCTTAAATATTTAACTGAGAATAAGCCACAACTGAGTTAAAGAAAAGCCAGTTGGTCAAAGTTCACATATATATTTTTTCAGATAAAAATTATCTGATTCTATTTAGAAAAAAATTTTTTGCCTTTATATAAAGGATATTTAAAGTTTCCCACAAATCTTCTCATGGCCAACTGGTTAATCTCCTATGCTACATAAAACGGTGATATCAGAGTAATTACCTGAGCAAATTAACTGAGTAAAGTGTATCATACAGAAGAAATGAACTTTTATATGTATCCTGGCTTAAATAACATCACTTCAATCTCTGAATATAACCTTCATGACAGAAGCAGTCAACTTAGAAGATGACAGTAAATGTACTGGCCCTGAGAATATGAAGTCATAATCTGAAGCAGCCAATGGCAAGGCCTAAAATGTCTTGATATGTATATAGGCTCAGTTTCACTTTTTTAGCCCTGTGATAACACACTGATACAAAGAAATACCAAATTATAAAATGTACTTGATTTGGTAGGGTTGGAAACTTCTTAACTGAAAAGTAGAGGAGAACAGAAATTCTGCACACATCTCCCTTCACTAACCAATAAAAGGAGATTAATAGGTCACCTAGAAAAAGCACAAAGTTAACTTTATATTCCACATTCACAGAAAGATATCACAACAGAGCAAACCATTAGTATTTTTTAATTTAAAAAGAATCTTCCAAAATATTCTTGGAGCTAGTAACAGGAGTAAAATCACAAAAATCTATACTATAATACAACACACAAAGAACAAAAAAATATTCTTAATGAATTGAAACTTAAAAGAAATTGATAAATTTTTTTTTGGTCTTACATATTACTTAAACACAAAATCATTTCTAAGGAAGACAATAGAATTTTATTTATGAAGTAAATTTTCTTCTGTTCAGACACTGTTTATATAGACTCTCAAGTGGTAAATCCATGAAGTGTACACACACACGCACCTGCACGGGTGAACTGAACACATAGGAGGTGGTGGGAGATGAGGATGATTTTCAATGGTCACTGTTTTCTTCACATGATCTTGACTGATGTCTTCGTACATGTGCTCAACTGTTAAAGGCTGCCGTTGCTGAAAGCATAAAAAATGCTTTGAAATTACTATTTAAAAACTTTTAGGCCTAAACCTTAGTCTTTATAATATACTTAGTCCCACCTTCCACATAACTTGCAATTTCAAATTCTATACTATTTAGAATCACCAGATTATTTGGGGCAAAGTTTATATCAAGTAGCCAGGGAGGAGAGTCTGTCCATCAAGGCTATGTGAAATCAGCTATCACGTAATACAGAAAAAAGTTCACAAAAAGGCAAGTTCAGAGCTATCAAAACATTTTATAACTTTATAACATCTTTTAGGCCTATTTGTTTTCCATTTATAGTCATTGGAATGACAGGTTAAACAAGTTAATTTTATTTTAGTTTTCCTTTAATTCAATTAAGTGAAAGTCTACAGGGAAAAAAACTCCACATGCAATATGATCATTCTGCAAATGTCTACCCATAATCCCAAACAAAATTTAATATAACAAACCAACTTCAATTTTCCTCACATTTCAAAAGGGTAAGTTCGAGGGACCAAGGAATAAATGTAACAGAATATTTCTGTTTAATCCTTAGCAGTGCTGTTTCACATTGAATAATTCCTAGTTTCTTCAAAATAAGAATCAAATTCAACATTAATCACAAAATTACAAAGCAAATGATTCCTAAAACTTGAAAGGCCAAAATATATACCCATGGACTTAATGACAAAAGATTCAACCCTCAAATTTTAAACATTTACACTAAAATTTTTTCTTTATTTTTACCTCATCATAGCCGAACAACCATAGTCGTGGTGTCTGGTAATATTTATCATAAGTGATATAAAGGTCATAAGTTCTGGTTTGCAAAATAGCATCTTCACCTCCAGCATCAGTTTTAGCTTTACAAGCTTCTACTATTTTCCTTGTATCTAAAGTAGCCTGGTAACAGTGGAGAAAAATTTACAACCATTAAAATCACTATGTGATGTTTTAGCAAATCATCCCATCCTATGTATTTTTTATTCAACAGCAGATATAACAAAATTCAAAGCTAAAATGTTATATGCTATAAACAATGTACACATAAAAAACTCATTTGATAGATCAAGATATTAGGAACATTAATCCCCAAGTTTACTCGTTAAAAATTAACTAAAGAAAACTCAATTTACAAACCTCATCTGTTTCCAACAATCCACTCTCTTCATATTCTGTTATAAAAAGCAACAAAAGATTAATCAAGTTCAAAATAATTTCCTAAACGAAATTACATATTACTTCAGAGAATGCAAAATTGGGTTTTTGCTTTAGTTTCTATCGAAGATATTGAATAAATTAGAGAGCTAATTCTGTATTTCTAAAGAAGCAGACACTTTACCTAACAGTGTCAGAGAAAGTCGGCTTACTTAAGGCTTGATCTATTACTAATACCAACTGGCACAATAATACTAGAGTCCTTGGTGACTCCACAGGGTATGCAAGGATATTTATATAACTGCATAAGACATGCTCGTTAAGGTCATCAGTGACTTCCACTTGCTGAATCCAGTGGTAAATTCCCGGTTTTCATCTTAATTGATATCTTAAGAACATCTGGCATGATTTATTTCTTCTTCCTTGCAACATTTTCCTTCCTCAGCCTTTAAGATACTACATTTTCCTGGCTTTCCTCCCACCTCACTAACTTTTCCTTCACTATCTCCTATGCTGGTCCTGTTCAACATCTACAGTAACCAAAAGCTCAGTTTTTGGAACGTGCCTCTTCTTCATCCACACTGACTCCCTTGAAGATTTCATTTAGTCCCAATGACTTTAAATGCTGATGACTTTTGAATTTATTCCCTTACTGCAAACACTGATACCCAACTGTTATTTATGACTGGAATGAATGACTAGGGGACAGCACAAGTATCACATGTCAAAAACTGAGCTCCTGACTTCCGCTCCAAAGCCATTCACTCCCCATTCTGAATAACATCTTTCTACACACTCAGGTCAAAAACCCTGGAGTCACACATGACCACTCATGTCACATTCAATCCAGCAACAAATACTCTTTTGGCCCTACCCTCAAAATATCTAGAATCTTCAGTTACCACCTGAGCCCATGTCACAGTCATTTCTTGCCTAGATTATCAAAGTAGATGCCTAACTGTTGTCCCAAACTCCTTCAGTCTTTATTCTCAACACTGAAGTCACAGCAATTCTTTCGAGATCTTAAAATCTCATTCTGTTGTTCCTTTACTTAAAAAAACCCCAACAGCTTCTCATCCCAGAGTTAAAGCCAGGGCCCTACACCATCCCAGGTTACCTCTCTAACTCCACTCCTTATTACCCTCTCCTCACGCCTCTCTAAACATAGGAGCCTCCTTGCAGTATTTATGTAAGTCATATGTGTTCCCACATCAGGGCCTTTGCACTCTTCCTCAGATAACCAAACAGCTTGTCTGCTTACTTTTTGTCAGGCTATACTCAAAAAGCATATCCTCAGTGAAGTTTCTCTTAACCAACCTATTTAAAATTTACAACACTCATCCTACTACAAGACTCCCTGTCTCTGCCTGCCTTTACTTTTCTCCCTAACACTTACAACCATCTGAGATAGTTTATGTTTTGCTTTATCTATTGTTTTTGTCTGTGTCCCCTAAATCAAATATTAGCTCTGTGAGATCATGTCTACTGCTTTATCTCCAGCACCAAATGTAGTATCTGATATATAGATACTGTCTTGCTCAATAAATATTTGCTGAGAAATGGATGAAAATTAACTGTTATATTAGGTACCAACGACACTTCTTAAGCAAAATTCCATATATAGCAATTCTTTAATTCTATCCAAGGGAAATGTAACAAACATACTAGAAGGTGGTCAGATATTTAAGGCAATTCTACAGCTTGAACTCTAAAACAGTTCAGTTCAATTCAATTACTCAGTCATGTCCAACTCTTTGCAATCACAAGGACTGCAGCACACCAGGCTTCCCTGTCCATCACCAACTCCCGAAGCTTGCTCAAGCTCATGTCCATCAAGTTAGTGATGCCATCCAACCGTCTCATCCTCTGTCATCCCCTTCTCCTCCTGTCTTCAATCTTGCCTAGCATCAGGGTCTTTTCTTATGAGTCAGTTCTTCACATCAGGTGGCCAAAGTATTGAAGTACTAAAACAGTACTTTATTCATAAGGTTTCCTGCTCCAACTTGACAACTGTATACCATTCAGAGACAGAATCCAGAAATGAGTATTTGTGCAAGAAGGTGGTCTGACAACTATGAGACTTCCATGTGGAAATGAATCTAAACAAGTAGATCTAGGTTGGGGTTTAGATATGTATGTCTTGAGCCATAGACACAGTATATGAGGTTCCTGTGATCAATTTTGGTTACAAGTAAACTCATCTGGATTTCTTCAACAAATAGAAGTATACATGGAAATAAGGATAAAATTCTCACTAGAATCTAGGAACAGATATACAGCTAGGTTTCATGGAAGCTCAAAAGTAATTTTGGAAACAAAAGTGAAAGATACTTATTCTTTTTGAAAGGTGCTTTTTTAAGTAGAAGGCTTCCCTGGTGGCTCAGATGGTAAAAGAATCTTCCTGCAATGTGGGAGACCTGGGTTCGATCCCTGGGTTGGGAAGATGCCCTGGAGGAGGGCATGGTAACCCACTCCAATATTCTTGCCTGGAGAATCCCCGTGGACAGAGAAGCCTGGCAGGCTACAGTCCAACCCATGAGGTCGCAAAGAGTCAGACACAACTCAGCATCTAACACTTTCACTTTTTAAGTCAAGACTACTCTGGTTGATTAGGCTAAGCTGCCGCTGCCTCTTCAGCAAACACCACCTGCCATCTCTACAGATACTACCTTCTACTTCTGCATTCTATCTCACTAAATTCTAGGTACTAGGGCGATATGGCCACCTTACAGCCTCCAAAATACCTGCCATGTCATTTTTCATATTCTTTTCCTTTTCCCAACTGCTAATCCTCTCTCTATACATACACATATTCATATTTAAACTCTCATAGAAAATCTAATGCAGTTTACACACCATTCTTCTTGCCAGACTACAGTCTCTAATTATAGAAGTTACAAGAGTAGATAAAAATCTACCTGGGAGTGTAGGGAGTGAGCAGAGAAAAGAGTGAAGCACCATAAGATACCAACATTTAACAGCTAAGCAGAAGTAAAAAAGCCTGGGAAGAAGACTTAGAAGAAACAGTCAAGGAAGGAAGAGGTAAATCCCATGTCATAAAAACCAATGGAGGAAAAGGTTAACAGAATCAAATAAATATACAGAGAAGGTAAGTATTATAAAGACAGATTGGGCTTAACAATCTGGACTGAACAAGAGAGGCTGTCCTGGTGACAGCACTTTCTTCCATCTAATTTTAAATATCTGAAATTTCATATTAAAGATCATCATGCTAATGAAGTATGACGTTTTGAATAGCCATATACTTTTAGACCTGTATTACTGTGTTCTGTTAGTATAACGGGTTTCAATCTCTTGTAACTATAATTCACTAACACATTAAGTCTCAACTCTCAACTGGCAATGCTAGGAAGGCACTTCAGATTCTTGGGAAGCAGTGGAAGGATTCCATATAGTTCAAAAGGCCCCATTAAAATAACTATCATAAGGTTTAAGTAGTAAGATGCTACCAAAAAGGAAAAAGAAAATATTAAATCCCTGAACAAATTTTCTTCTGTTCTGAAAGAATTTAGGAATTAGCTTAAGAATCTGTATCTCATGGCTGTCTCCAGCATTAAATATTTACGATCAATACTGATCCAGCAGAAATAATGCTATCAAGGCCATGCTCTTGGTAAAGTCCAAGAGCAAGGTAAGTTCTGCACTTATTAAATTTAAACTAAACAAATCCTCTCTAGGCTGTTCAATGTTAAAATTCAGAACTCAATAAAGTAGAATTCTTAATCCATACCAATTATATATATTCTAAAATCAATACTCTATTGTAATTAAAACAAATCCATAACACAAATACCTTCCATATCTGCAGCTTCTCCTTCATCTTCCTCTTCCTCCTCCTCACACAAAGCTGAGCAATCTTTGAGTTTTATACTGTCCTTTGAAATTAATTATATTTAAAGTCATTTAAATATGTTCATGAGTTCAAATACTGAGCACCCACATGCCAGCACAGTGTTAACCACTGCAAAAGTAAGCATGATGAGATATTTCTTAAACTCAAAAACCTCCTACTTCATATGATAAACCCATAAACCAATCATTAAAAACCATGTGCTAACCACTGTGACTGAAAAATATAAAAAGTATCATAGAAGCACCAGAAGTCATTTAAAAATTGTTGCCAGTTACACTTCTGACAAAACAATATTTCTAGCTAACCAATTCAATAGTATTAGAAAGTCAGTTCAAAGTTAACTGGTACACTTAAAGGAGAAATATATATATATTTATAAACCACAATACATTTACATGTTAATATTATTACAAATCAAATACTATCATATTCTCTAATTTAACATTCCTGGTTGAATTAAGCAATTACAATTATTATAACATATAAGATTTCAGTTCAATTTCTTAACTATATCTGCATTAATAATGCTAACCAAAGACAAGCCTAATATAATATACAATTATCATTTTCACAAAATTAATATTCTAAAAATCTGAAGTCAATGTAGTAGGTTAAAAAACTGGACATTTAGTTTCACCTAATTTATATAATTTTAATAGTATGCATTCTAAGCACTAAATTATAAAAAAAAATCATGTAAATTCTGTATTAAACAGGAAATGACAGGGAAGATAAATTCTAGTTGTAAATTATTCCAAGTACTCAACCATTAGTAAGACATGAGAATGCTAAGTGGGATACTAAGTACCATATTAACCATTATTAAATTTATTAAAAATTCCTGAGAGGGTTTATCATAAACCTATCAAAACAATGGATCCACACTCTGCCATTTATTATTCCCAAAGTCTGATCCATACACACTAATCGCTGGAATAAACAAGAGCTTCTGAAGCAGCAAAGTCATTTATGTAATTTCTCCTTAGTCAAATTCTCCAAAAAGCAGAACTTCAAAAAGATGAATTTTCAGACTAATGAACTGAACCTTAATCCCTAGCAAGCATAAAACTGTACACTGGAAAAAAAAGAAAAAACCTTGTTTTGGTTTTTAACACCTTCTGTTAAGCCCCAGTAACAAATCCCAAAAGATTCCAATGACAGAAACACACAGAGACGATGATCTTAAACTAGGAACTGCTGCAGCTAACTGTTTCAGAAAGACAAAAAGAATGGATACTCAAAAATAAGAGAATGGACTATTTAACAAAATAGTTAAGAAAATATAAAGGTGAAAGTGTTTTGCAGTATTTTATAATATTTTAAACAACTACATAAAAATATGAAGACAACTATAATCATTCTTTAGAAATGAAAACCTAATATAGTCTAAATTAACTGAAAAGTTTCAAGCAGAAAATTTCTACCCAATTGTATATTTTTACCCTTCCTTCAAATAAACTGTACAATATAACCCAACTGATTTAGCTTTCACTCATTCAAAATGTCATGATTTTGAATGCTATAAAGCTTCCTTTAAATTTTCAAAATGAAAAACAGAACAAAAACCAAGAACCCCTCAAATTAGCAGTAAATTAAGAAACTTCAGAAGAAATGAATAAACTGCTTAAGATAGTGCTTAAACTACAAACTTAAAAATGGTATTATCAGATATCTATTACAGTAATCAGCAAGTAAGTAAATCCCCTCAAAAACCTCCACTTAACAGAATGTGTGGGACTTCTGTTTAAAAATAAAAAGCCATTTCTTATAAACTGGCCTAGAAATCTTCCCAAATAGTAAAAATTTATAGATTTTAACCAATTAGTCTCAAAAAATGTTTTTCTTAACCATTTGACAGAGTAAAGAAAAGAGAGCTCTGGGCAACAGTAGTGTTTTGGTATGTTGATGCAGAATAATGAGAGGAAATAAAACAGCTGGAATTTAAAACAGTTGATAATAAATACTGATAGTAAGAGTTTGCATATGAATGATATGAATAACCTCAAAATAAATATACAAGCAAATAACTAGGTCACTGAACTTAAAAACATAATGAATTAACCATTACCTTGCTTTCCAGTGTAATCTCCTTAACTGCTTCAGTTATTCCTGCAATACCTGTTTAAAATTCAGCAGAAAATTACTAAAATTAAGTTGTAAAGATCATCAATTTACCTGATTTGAGCAATATAAAAACACTTTAACATTATCTAAATTCTCAAAGTTCTCTGAAATGAGAAAGCAACGTTAGCAGCACTTTTACAAATGAACTCTAACAGGAATAAATAATCACAAAGGTACTTCTCAAAATTAAAAATAGTAACTTTTAAAATATCAGTTTAATATTTTATCATAAATTATCCTAGCCTATCTTCATTTAATATCCTTCATTTATTTACTTTCCTTGTGTGAGCCTATCAAAATAAATACTCTCAGAAAGTAAACAGAAAGTGAAGACTATAGGGGTCATATAACCTGCAATGAAATTTTCTCAATAAAATAATGGTTATGTTAAATATGCTATTTGCTTCAGAGATCTAGGACATCCAGAGGAAGTAATATCACATCAGATTTATGAGACTTTCTATTTTAGCACTTCTATATTTTATATAGTCCTCATAAACACTATTTTGTAAGGCAGTCACTGTAATGGTTTCTTCCTATGAAGAAATGAAGTCTCCAGAATAAGAAACTTGTATAAATCTCAGTTACATGAAGAACCTGGGATTCAAATCCACACCTGCTCTTCGGTTGAATGCTCTGTCCACGGTACCTCATTAAGCAGCTACCTTGGAAACCACTTATCTCAATGAAGGTAACATTAAGAAGGTGGTAGGATCACAAGTCAGCTAAATATATTTATAATTCAAAATATCCATCAGTGTTTTCAAATGATTTAACAAGGATGGGAAACAGTAAAGAAAAAAAAAAACCCTAAACACAAAATATACTTTGCTCCTTTGTTTATCTTCTGAAGCTTTGATATATCTGTTCAATATATCCAATCCAAAGACTCACTTTCAAAGAAAATGTCAGTCACAATCCACAGCTTGAGCATAAAGCTTTTATATCAGAGTAGTTTTTCTAGAAATTATTTTATAATAGGTATGATTATTAACATGGATTTCTATTACAACTCACTGAGACTACTTCACAGAAACAAAGAAAATAAACCTCTTCAATCCATCTAAATATAATGCAGTAGCATCCCATTAAATCAGACTCTCCTAAAAGGAGGACATATTGGAAAAGAAAAAGAAAGCTCAAAGGATTCTAATGAAGGTAACACTGTACCAGTTGTGATGGTTAATCTCATATGTCAACTTGGGTAGGTTATTGTATCCCATAGTTTGATTAAACAACAGTCTAAATGTTACTCTGAAGGTTATTTTTTAAACGTGCTTAACATTTAAATCAGTATACTTAGAGTAAAGCAGATCACTGTAGGTGAGCCTCATTCAATCAGGAGATAAGAAAAAAAGACTTAGTCTCTTAAGAGACTTTTTACTTAAGAAAAAAAGACTGAATGCTCTAGAAGAATTCTGCTTCCATACTGGCCTGAGACTCTAGCTCTATCAACTGACCATTACCAGTCTTCAGACTGCTGGCCAAGCTGCCCTTTACATTTCAGAATTGCTAGCTTCCACAATCATGTAAGGACTTCCCCAATGGCTTAGTGGGTAAAGAATCTGCCTGCAATGCAGGAGACCCCAGTTTGATTCCTGAGTCAGGAAGATTCCCTGGAGAAGGGATAGGCTACCCACTCTAGTATTCTTGGGCTACCCTGGCGGCTCAGACTGTAAAGAATCCACCTGCAATGTGGAGACCTGGTTCAATCCCTGGGTTGGGAAGATCCCCTGGAGGAAGGCATGGCAACTCACTCCAGTGTTCTGGCCTGGAGAATCCCCATGGACAGAGGAGCCTGGCAGGCTACAGTCCATGAGGTCTCAAAGAGTTGGACACAAATGAGTGACGAGGGACAGCACGGCACAATCATTCCAACACCTGCTTATCTCTGTGAGGAATGCTTTTGTAAATACGCACCTGGATTCTGGGACAGGGATTAAGGAATACAACTAGACAACTGAGAGGCTCACTAACTTGACATCAGAAACGTAGTACTATAACCAGTGGCTCTACGGCACTACTCAGTTGAGGAAAGAGGATGATTTTCAAATTATTTTAAGAAGTTGTTCAGTTATTTTCTCTAGGCCTTGACATAACAATATTCAACTCATTAAGGAACAAGAAAGCTTCAAATCAAGGAACTCAAGTCCTGAATCTGTTTCTGAATCATCTAAGGAAACAGATGGCAGTGTCCTTTACACAGAGCAGAGGAAAAATGAACTTAAAGAGGTACTTTTTCCTGTGCAGATTATTTAGACCTCTGACTACTGCAGTGAATCTCAACTAAGAGCAATAATTTTGCCTTCATGGTATATTCGGCAGTGTGTAGTGGCAAGTAGTACAGTACTATAAAATGTGGTACACTCCAAAGGCATTTTTTCCTAATTTGTTCTCTAGCTTCTTTTCAGGTAAAAATCTTCTGGTACAAAACTATGCCTTGTGTTGCTTTCTTTATTTTTTAAATCAAGGCTGTTATAAAAGATGACAAAAGAGTTTAAAACAAATTAAACACATGCCATTCTATTCTCCTCTTACCTGTATTATGATAAGTATCTACCCATCCCCCATCACCATCATCTTCTTCAATGATAGCTTCCAATTCATCTGAATATTCCATCTGTTTACACCGCTTGTAGCACGGAACTATAAAGAAATGGCAAGGGCAGTTACTAAAATATATTCTGCTTCCTGTAAATCCATTTTAAAAAGAGAAGGTTTATTTTGTAAAATATATTCCTACCACCAAAATATTAAGTGAATATGATATTTTATTCCTAATAAGAGTATTTAAGAGTTACACTCAACCCACAGACACATAATTATTTGATGACACTTATCTTTCCCTAAATAGCTTTGTGAGAAGACAAGTAGAAAGGCTCTACTGAGAGTGTTCAAAGTATTCTCTACCTTTATGATCTGTGATCAGCAAACCTGAAGTCAGAGGTGACATTGTTCAACCTCAGGCTAATGAGCAACATATAATTTTAGTGGCTTTACTCTCAGAACATGGAGGCACTACCTGTCATACTCGGAGGTGGTAGAGGTGACCTCTGGTTTAGAATGTTAAAATAACTTTCAATATGAGCTTCTAATTTGTATTTAAGCTTCAGCTATTAATAAAGGATAAACCAGTGTAAAGTTCACTAATCTGCTAAACTTTACTCTCTTACACAAACTGGTGCCAAGTTCTTCATATAGCATATGCTTCGATCAACAGGTACTATCCATATAAACCTAAAACTGAAAAATTATAAGGTAAAAACATTACGATGTGGGGGTCAACAAAATGCTATTAATCTCTTGATTTTTTTTAAAAACAAGATAGACATGACCAATCCCATCAAAAACTATACTGTAGAAAATAAAAAACTGATGTTTTATACATGTTTTCCCTTTCCTATAATGAGTAGAACACAAATCAATGTATTGTTATGTCATTAGCCTGTGACTATAACAAACTTTTGATGGTTGTTTTCAAAGTAGCTTCATAATAACCTCATTAGCTTCATAAATACTTGTTTCAGAAACACGTTTGTGCCTACAGGTAATCTTTCAATGACACAGTGGATAATAAAAACCTCTAGCTTTGAGATTTTAGATATCAAAGGTAGTTATCAATTATACCTTTCATGAAAAATTTAGGTTTAAAAAAGACTGATATTAAGTAGCTGAAAAGATTATAATTATAAGTCCACTTAAAAGGACTTCAAAAAAGTCCACAAGCGGACTTCCTTGGCAGTCCTGCTGTTATAATGACTCTGCACTGCCACTGGAGGGGGCACGGATTCAATCTCTGGCCAAGGAACTAAGATCCTGTACACCACTGCAGTCAGTGCAGCAAAAAAAAAAAACAAAAAAAAGTCCAATTTTGCTTAGAGCCTCATCATAAACCTACACTTTTTTTGGCAAAAAGAAATAACAAAATGGAAAGAGATAAAATCAAATATGGAAAAAAATAGTCTATCATAGAAAATCCATAGGAAAAAAAAATTTACCATAGGGAAAGGCTACCCACTCCAGTATTCTGGCCTGGAGAATTCCATGGACTGTCCATGAAGTCACAAAGAGTCGGACATGACTGAATGACTTTCACTTTCATATAAAATTCAGAATTTCATTAAATTTCTAAGTTTCTATCTGAGAGAAGCTAGAAGTACAGCTTAAGCAAAAATTAAGATCAGTAAGGAGGAGGAACAAGATGGTGGAGTAGTAGATGGACCTGGAATACATCTCTCTCCATGGATACATTAGGAATACACCTTCAGACATAAAAGTGCTTTTCTTTCAGGGAGCAAGGGCCTTTTAATTTCACGGCTGCAGTCATCATCTGCAGTGATTTTGGAGCCATTTAGGCTGCCACAAATCAGCTGTTTCCCTTTCAGCCTTAAATGTTTCTCCTCTGACTCAGACACCCGAATGTGGGGATCAGACCCCTGCTTCAGTTCCCCCCACTCACTGAGGGCAAAGGATGAGATGGTTGGATGGCATCACTGACTCAATGGACATGAGTTTGAATAAACTCTGGGAGTTGGTGATGGACAGGGAGGCCTGGCATGATGCAGTCCATGGAGTTGCAAAGAGTCGGACATGACTGAGCAACTGAACTGATTGACTGAAATGAAATGAGAATCAGATAGTCCTTGCCACTGCCATACATACCCTAGATGGCACAGTGGCTGGAGTTTAGGGATTGTGGAGCAATCCCAGGGCAAGAGCTGCTGTTGACTGCAGAGAGATGGACTGAGGGGATGTGAAGGAGGACACTGTGGTGGGAAATGCCCGTGGAGGAAAGCTGGGCAGCCAAGGAAGTAAGGCAATATGGCTGAGTCATTTGTAGGGGGTGGAGCCATAACCATAACCTCTCTCCCCTGACACACCAGCATCAGCAGCTGAACAAGAGAGGCTGGCCCATCAAATGCCTGATGCACTGAATTACAGAGTAGGACCCCACCCACGGTGCCCCTTTAAGTGCCTGAAACACCAATCTACAGAGTAGGATCCCAAGCAGGGGCCCCTCTATGTGCCTGATGCTCTGAACAACAGATAAGCACCCCACACAAGGGAGCCCTGTAAGTGCCTGAACGGGCAGAGCTACTATGGAGAAAGACTGGCCAAATAGACCTTCTGATCGCCAGCTACAAGAGACTCAAAAAAACTCTGATAAGGCCATAACTCCTGCAGCAGAGGTAGTCCATGTCCTTGCACAGCTGGTGCTGCCAGGGTCCCTGCAAGACAAGCAGCTGCGCTATCTTCACGCTCAACTCTCACTGGCACAGAGCTGCCTCAGGCAAAAAAAGTCTTGCATCTATGCACACAGGGTCGCTTAGGTTGTGTCGAACTCTTTGTGACCCTGTGGACTGTGGCCTGCTAGACTACTCTGTCAGGAAGGGGGGTTCTCCAGGCAAGAATACTGGAGCATATTGGCCAATGCTGCTGCTGCTGCTGCTAAGTTGCTTCAGTCATGTCCGACTCTGTGTGACCTCATCAATGACAGTCCACAAGGCTCCTCTGTCCCTGGGATTCTCCAGGTAAGACTACTGGAGTGGGTTGCCATTTCCTTCTTCAATGCATGCATGCTACATCGCTTCAGTCGTGTCTGACTCTGTGCAACCCCATGGAGAGCAGCCCACCAGGCTCCTCTGTCCACGGAATTCTCTAGGCAAGAATATTAAGGGTGTGTTGCCATTTCCTTCTCCAATATTGGCCAATACTGGTTGCCAAACCCTTCTAGAGCACTGGATTTCCTGCTGCCCGACACCCCAACTCCTCTGAATACTTGGTGCTGCCAGAACCCCTGCAACTCAAGCAGCTGCACCACCTCCACCTGGCCCTCACAGAGGCAAACCCAGGTCCTCCAAGGCAGCCTCATGAGCAAACCCCAGTGGAAAACCCATATCCAGAGGTGGAAATAAAACCACAATTGAAACCCAGGGGTAGTGTCACTAAGGAAAAAGACCCAAAACCCTCCTACCAGCTGTACAAGCAGCAGATTAAATCCATACAATCAACTAGGCAGATTTTGAGTCTGTGGAATATATAAAAGGTCATTGAGAGCTCCCACAAAAGGAAAAGGACTAGTTCTAACAGCTGTGGACATTTGGAGGCAAGAACATGGAGAAGGACAAGATTAGAATCTGAGCTACCCTCACAGCAGGTCCAGAGATCAGCACAGTGTTAGAGGGCATCCTAGGGAGGTGAAGTGAACTGTGACTCCCAGTGAGGGAAAGGACTCTGACATCAGTGATTCAAGAAAAACATTTATTCTTATGTTTTGACTTGTTCTGTAGATTCTCCTGGATTTCCAGCCCACCCCCCCCCCCCCCCCCCCGCCCCGACCCGGTTTGTTGTAGTTGTCAATTTTATTGGCACTATGAAATCTAACTAAGCTTTTGAGCTTTTTTTTTTCACCTCAGTCACATTTTTATTGCTGTTATAAACCTCCGCCTCTATGTTGAGCTTTTGCAGTTCAGGGGAGTTCTTTAATTTTAATTTTTTAAACCTATTATTATTTTTCTATATTTATTTCTCCATTTGCTTTTCCTACTGTTCTTTTCCCCTTATAGTTAACCTTTTATATAAATCTTCTTTATCTATCTCTATTTAACTTTGCACATCTATTCTTTCTTTCTTTTCCTTCTTTACTTTAGTCTCAACATATTTGTTAGTTTTATTTTCATTGCTTTCTACCCTAATTGGCACCCTGCTTTTAGTTTTGTTTTCCAGTTTGTGCTTTATAGTTTTGTTCTGGTAGACATAATTTTAGGTTCCCTTTGTTCACCAGGTCAATCTATTCTACTTTATTTTTGTTGGACTGTTTTGATTTTGCTTATGGGTGTATATGTATATGTGTACATTCAGTCACACTTTTAATAGTCATTATAAACCTCTGCCTCTACATTGGGCCTTTGAAGTTCTGTGGAGCTTTCCTTTCCTTCCTTTTTTTCTTTCTTCTTCCAATTTTTTTCTCTATTTCATAATTTAAATTTTCTTAAATCTATTATACTTTTCTACTTTTCTTCCTTTGTTTGCCTTTCCTACTGTTCTTTTCCCCTTACAGTTAATCTTCAATATATACAAATCATCTTCATCTACCTCTATTTAACATTGCATAGCTACTCTTTCTTTCCTTTCCTCTCAACATATTTGCTACTATTATTTTTATTGCTTTATTCCCCAACTGGCACCTTGCTTTAGTCTTGTTTTCCAGTTTGTGCTTTAGTGAAGTTGTTCTTAACTGGTAAATATAATCTTTCATTTCCCATGTTCGCTGGGTCAATCTACTATACTTTATTTTGTTGGACTGTTTTGACTTTGCTCATGGGTATATATGTATATGTGTATATATATTCCATTATTTTAAGTATTATTTCCCTGATTTTATAACTGCCATTTGTCTGGGGCTCATCTTTGGTTTCTCATTTTGGATATTTGTTTAATCTCACTTAATGCTGTAAGAAACCACTTGTGGAATCTTTGATCCTGACCAGAGATCAAGTCCTGAGCCTTTGGAGTGGGAGCACTGACTCCAAGACCCTGAATTACCAGAGAACTAACCCTAGGGAGTATCAAATAGTGAGAACTCCCACAAAGGAAATTACCTGAATACAAGACCCAGCATCACCCAACCACCCTGTGTAGGATGCCTCATCTAAATAAAACAAAAATACAGTCATCAGCAGACAGGATTATCACCTCATTCAGCCTTGCCCATAAGAGGAATAACAAACAAAAATTCAGCACAAATCTCACCCTATAAGAAGCTTACACAAACCACTAGACAAACCTTAGAGGGCAGAAACCAAAAGGAAGAAAGAATTCAACCTTGAAGCATGGGAAAAACAGACCTCAAACACAATAAACTTAAAAAAAAAAAAAACAGCAGAGAAATGCTACACAAATGAAGGAACAAACTAGAAACACTGAAGTCCAAATAAATGAGGAAATAGGCAAACTAACTGGAAAAGAATTCAGAATAGTGATAGTAAGATGATCAAAAACCTTGGAAACAAAATGGAGAAAACACAAGAATCAACTAACAAAGACCTAGAATTAAAGAAGAAACATACAGAGACAAACAACACAATAACTGAAATTGAAAATACTCTAGAAGGAATCAATGGCAGAATATCTGAAGCAGAAGGACGAAACAGTGAGCTGGAAGATAAAATGGTGGAAATAACTTCTGAAGAGCAAAATAAAATAGAAAGAATGAAAAGAACTGAGGACAGTCTCAGAGACCTCTGGGACCATATCACACGTACCAACATTCAAATTACAGGAGTCCCAGAAGAAGAGAAAAAAGGTATGAGAAATTTTTTGAAGAGATTATAGTTGAAAATTTTCCCAACATGGAAAAGGAAATAGTCAAGTCCAAGAGGCATAAAGAATCCCAAACAGGATAAACCCAAGGAGAAACACGCCAAGACACATACTAATCAAACTAACAAAGACCAGACACAAAGAAAGAATATTAAAAGCAGCAAGGAAGAAACAACAAGTAACATACAAGGGAAACCCCATATGCTTAACAGCTGATCTTTCCACAGAAACTACAGACCAGAAGGAATGGCAGGATATATTTAAAGTAATGAAAGGGAAAAATCTACAACCAAGATTGCTGTACCGGGCAAGGATATCATTCAAAATTGATGGAGAAATAAAAGTTATTCAGACAAACAAAAGTTAAGAGAATTCAGTACCAACAAACCAGCTTTACAACAAATGTTAAATGAATTTATATAGTCAAGGAACACAAGAGAAGAAAATAGATCTACAAGATCAACCCCAAACAATTAAGAAAATGGCAACAGGAACATACATATCAATAATTACTTTAAATGTAAATGGATTAAATGCTCCAACCAAAAGACACAGACTGGCTGAATGGATACAAAAGCAAGACCCATATACAGGCTGTCTACAAGAAACCCACTTCAGACCTAAGGACACATATAGACTGAAAGTGAGAGAATGGAAAAATAGATTTCATGCAAATGGGAAGTAAAAGAAACCTGGAATAGCAATCTTCATATCAGACAAAACAAACCTTAAAAATAAAGAGATAAGGAAGGACACTACTTAATGATCAAGGGATCAATCCAAGAGGAAGACATAACAATTGTAAAAATCTATGCACCCAACACAGGAGCACCTCAATACGTAATACAAACACTAACAAACATAAAAGGAGAAATTGACAGTAACACAATAATAACAGGAGACTTTTAACACTCCACTCACACCAATGGACAGATCATTAAAACAGAAAACTAATAAGGAAACACAAGTCTTAAATAGTACATTAGATGAGATGGACCTCATTGATATCTTCAGGACATTCCATCCAAATGCAGAAGAATATACCTTCTTCTCAAGTGCACAGGGAACATTCCCCAGGATAGACCACATCTTGGGTCACAAATCATACCTCAGTAAATTTAAGAAAACTGAAATCGTATCAAGCATCTTCTCCGACCACAGTGCTATGAAACTAGATATCAATTACAAGAAAAAAGTGTAAGAAACACAAACACATGGAGATTAAACAACACATTTCTAAATAACAAACAGGTTCCTGAAGAAATCAAAAGGGAAATCAAAATATTTCTAGAAACAAATGACAATGAAAATACAACTCAAAACCTATGGGATGCAGCAAAAGCAGTTCTAAGAGGGAAGTTTATGGCAATACAATCCTACCTCAAGAAACAAGAAAAAAAAATCAAACAGACAACCTAACTTTACACCTAAAACAACTGAAAACAGAAGAACATAAAAACCTCAAAATTAGTAGAAGGAAAGAAATCATAAAGATCCCAGCAGATATAAATGACAAAGAAATGAAAGAAACAGTAGTAAAGATTAATAAAACGAAAAGCTGGTTCTTTGAGAAGATAAACAAAATTGACAAACCTTTAGCCAGACTCATCAAGAACAAAAGACAGAAGAATCAAATCAACAAAATCAGAAATGAAAAAGGAGAGGTTACAACAGACAGTGCAGAAACACAAAAGATTATGAGAGACTATTATGAACAACTACATGGCAATAAAATGGATAACCTGGAAGATATGGGCAGATTCTTGGAAAAGTTCAATCTTCCAAGACTGAACCAGGAAGAAATAGAAATTATGAACAACCCAATTGCAAGCACTGAAATTGAAGCTGTGATTAAAAAAATCTCACAAAAAACAAAAGCCCAGGACCAGATGGATTCACAGGAGAATTCCATCAAACATTTAGAGAAGAGCTAATGCCTATCCTTCTAAAACTCTTCCAAAAAATTGCAGAGGAAGGAGCATTTCCAAACTCACTCTACAGGGCCACCATCACCCTGATACCAAAACCAGGCAGACAACACAAAAAAAGAAAACTACAGGCTGGTATCACTGATGAACATAGATGCAAAAATCTTCAACAAAATTATAGCAAACAGAATTCAGCAACACATCAAAAAGTCCATACACACCATGGTCAAGTTGGGTTTATTTCAGGGATGCAAGGATTCTTCAATATATGCAAATCAGCCAATGTGATAGACCATATTAACAAATTGAAAAATAAAAACCATATGATCGTCTCAATAGATGCAGAAAAAGCCTTTGACAAAATTCAGCACCCATTTATAATTAAAACTTTCCAAAAAATGGGCACAGAAGGAACCTACCTCAACAGAGTAAAGGCATATATGATAAGCCTACAGCAAACATTATTATCAATGGTGAGAAACTGAAAGCATTCCCCCTAAGATCAGGAACGAGATAAAGGTGCCCACTTTCATCACTACTATTCAACATAGTTCTGGAATTCCTAGCTAAAGCAGTCAGAGAAAAATAAATAGCAGAAAAGAAATAAAAAGAATCCAGATCAGAAAAGAAGTAAAGCTCTCACTGTTTGCAGATGACATGATACTATACATAGAAAACCCTAAAGATAGTATCAGAAAATTACTAGAGCTCAGTGAATTTAACAAAGGTGCAGGGTACGAAATGAATACACAGAAATCATTTGCATTTCTATATACTAACAATGAAAAATCAGAAAGAGAAATTAAGGAATCAATCCCATTCACCACCACAACAAAAAGAATTAAATATTTAGGAATAAACCTACCTAAGGAGACAAAAGAAAGGTACACAGAAAATTATAAGACACTGATGAAAACAAAGAACCCAATCAAAAAGTGGGAAAAAGACCTAAACAGACGTTTCTCCAAAGAAGACATATAGATGGCTAACAAACACATGAAAAGATGCTCAACATCACTCATTATTAGAGAAATGTAAATCAAAACCACAATGAGATATATCCTCACACCAGTCAGAATGGCCATCATCAAAAAGTCTACAAACAGTAAATGCTGGAGAGGGTGAGGAGAAAAGGGAATGCTCTTGCACTGCTGGTGGGAATGTAAACTAATACAGTCATTATGGAAGACAGTGTGGAGATTCCTTAAAAAACTAGGAATAAAACCACCATATGACCCAGCAATCCCACTCCTAGGCATATACCAAGGAAACCAGGGTTGAAAAAGACACGTGTCCCATTGTTCACTGCAGCACTATTTACAATAGTTAGAACATGGAAGCAACCTAGATGCACATCGACAGATGAATGGATAAAGTTGTGGTACATATACACAATGGGAGATTACTCAACCATAAAAAGGAATGCATTTGAGTCAGTTTTGATGAGGTGGGTGAACCTAGAAACTATTATACAGAGTGTAGTGAGTCAGAAAGAGAAAGATAAATATATTCTAACACACATATATGGAATCTAGAAAAATAGTTCTGAAGAATTTATTTACAGGGCAGCAATGGAGAAACAGACATAGAGAATAGATTTATGGACATGGGGAGAGGGGAGGAGAAGGTGAGATGTATGGAAAGAGTAACATGGAAACTTACATAACCATATGTAAAACAGATAGTGAAAGAAAGTGAAGTTGCTCAGTCGTGTCCAACTCTTTGTGGCCCCGTGGACTGTAGCCCACCAGGCTCCTCTGTCCATGGGATTCTCCAGACAAGAATACTGGAATGGGTTGCCATTTCCTACTGAGAATTTGCTGTATGGCTCAGGAAACTCAAACAGGGGCTCTGTATCAACCTAGAGGGGTGGGATGGTGACAGAGATGGGAGGGAGGTTCAAAAGAGAGGGGATATATGTATACCTATGGCTGATTCATGTTGTGGTTTAACAGAAAACAACAAAATTTTGTAAAACAATTATCCTTCAATAAAAAAGTAAATTAAAAAAAAGTTCAGTAAGTACTAAGGTTTTTTTTTTAAATATATATACAACATAATTCTTACCATTTTTGGTGACCAAAAATTGTTTGCCTGATGGTAGGTAAGCCTTCACTTTCAATTCTTCCCCTGTAGCCCTTTAAAAAGAGTGAAAAGCACCACAATACAAAAAAATATTTTAAAAGGCAAAAACAGAAGATATCACATGTTAATCTCAACATCACACAACCCACACCCCTGAGAAAACTATTTTAGGATTGCTTTGGGAAGGATCCAAAAAGTGATGTATGTTGGGGCAATGAAGAGCATAGCAATAATATAAGTGAAATGTACTAAGAGACTGCAGACAGACCAAGAGAATTTAGATTAAATTTAAAAAAGAATAATATGGAACTGTATTAAGCAAGTATTATGTCTTCCTTGAAACAAAAATAATCTGAACCAGATTTTTAAAGAGGGCTGATCGTAAGACCAAGAGGAGGCAGAAAAATAGCTGTATGATATTGCATAACTAAGTAGGTAGCTGACAAGATTCACATTCCTACTGCTGTATTAAAACTGGAACTCAGAGATAAGATGCTTTGAATCACCCGATGATAATGCTGAGAATAATAATGACAGAAATAAACAATAAAACCTTTTATTGAGTGCTTCCTGGTAGCTCAGTTGGTAAAGAATCTGCCTGCAGTGCAAAAGACCCAGGTTTGATCCCTGGGTTAGGAAGATCCCTTGGAGAAGGAAATGCCAACCCACTCCACTATCCTTGCCTGGAAAATCCCATGGAGAGAGGAGCCTGGTGGGCTGCAGTTCATGGGATTGCAAATAGTCCGGCAGGACTGAGCAACTAACGCTTTCACTTTCTTTCTATTAAGTACAGGATCTAGAACTCCAATATGCATTATTTTCATATAATCCCAAGAAATCTAAGAAGTGAATAATATTAATAGCCCCAGTTTATACAAAACAAAAGCTTAAAGAAGTCACATTGCCCACAGTGACAAAACCAGAAGGTATAAAGAAGTCAAGTTACTCTGGGGTTCCTGCTCTTGAATACCACGCCCTCTGTGGGTCAGAGCCAGGTATAACATCTCTGATTTAGGGGGCTACTCTGGAATATCCCACTAAGAAATTTCTTCTGAGTTGACTCTTCCTAGAACTGGTCAGAGCTGGGATGGTATGTGGTATCTGTCACAAATATAAATTATTTGGAGTTCTGTTGCCTTAAGCTTCCATCTAAACTTCAAACCATAGATTTGAGCATAAGATAAAGCCAGGAAATGCCCCAAAACCATGTCAGCTTCTAGGATTTTTTAGACCATTCCCAAGTGTCAAACTCAACAATGAAATGGTAATGCCTGAAGTTCTGAGGGAAGACGATATAATACAGTCATGATGGCACCTGTAAACATGAACATATAGCACAGAAATAGTCTGCTTCTAGCACAGATTTGAAATAAATTGTTCTAACAGTTCAGTCAGAAGCATAGACACTGAAGTGTGATATAACTGAGTTCTAAGTTACAATAAAATTATTTCAACCATCATAATTCATCAAGTGGGAACTATAAATACTATCTGCTAAACAATGATTCTGTCCATGGATATCAACCCTTAAAACAATACTATAAATTATATAATTAGACAACTAAGGACTACAACAATCAAATCTGAATAAAGAAAATGTATATCTATCACATATGTATTGAAGAAAATCCTTTAGTTCTTTTCCTACAAAATGACTATTATTTTAAATGCTATACACCTATTTGACTTGAAATATATATATTGACATACTGTAGATCAGAATGTAGCTAAATACAGTTTTAACAATTTAGAAGGTGGGAAAAGTCTAAATCTGAGAGCTTCTATGATATGAACACAATTAAAAATATGGAACAGAAATACACACAGGAAAGACAAGACATAAAAATAAATGAACCTGACATTTCAGCCTTTCTTGGTACATAGGAAACAATGTTTGAGAAGTAGGAACTATTTGGATGTGTTAAAACATAAAAATTAAAGGTAACAGAATAGGCCACAGATGAAAGAGTTCCAACTGTGATTTTAAATAGTTTACTTAAGCTCTTTATCAATTAGTACCTTGTTAATTCTAAAATCCCTGCTCCCCAATCAAAACTCTACCTTTCAACTACAACTGAAAAAGGGTCACTGGGAAAAAAAGGATATAACAAGTTGAACCACTCATATCCAAACAAGATAATAATTCCAAACAATTCTAGCCTAAATAAAATAGTGTGCCACTATTGGGATCAATTTTTCAGCTACTGCCAGGTGGCTTTATCATAAGTACACAAAGTAATGAAATTAAATTTATTATTATTCAGATATTTTAAAGATACATTATGAGAACTGCTAAATTGCTTAAATTACTTTATTTTAAATTACTTTATAATTAAAAGAAAAGTTAATAAGAGAAATAAAAATTAGAAATGTCTGTTACAGATAGATTTCCAATTAAGACTTTACTTGGTATCATGAACCTCTCAACTTTTGAGCTAAAATTCCTAAAAACGGGGAGAAACTTTTGAACCTCAAAGAAGGTCTTATGGTAAAAGAAACATGAGATTCTGAAAAATTCCATATCTATTACTGTCATAAAAAATTCAATACTTTTTAATTTGAAAAATAAGCTAATCAAAATTATTAAACTTTTAAAAATATTTTTTAAAGACCTACCACAAGAACTGACCTAGACACTAAAGAAAGGGAATACTGGCAAAGGAAGGTGCTGATCTCAAAAATGTCCATCTTTTGTGTTAGCACAGCAAAACAAAACAGGTATAACGTTCAATTTTTCTTTATTTATTTCACTTTGAGTAATACTGGGGCACTATTTAAAAGAACAATCTACAAGAGGAAAATTAAACTGGTTGTTCTAATTTTCATGCACCAATCTATTTTGTAAACTGCCATAATCATGAAGTCATACCTTTTATGAACTTTCTATTCCTCAATCAAGAGTACTTACCATTGCCATGTTGGACAGTGGTGGACTAAGTGATCTCCAGCTGCCACAAACTATTCAAGATTTAGAAGAAATATGAAAAAAAGTAAAAAAGAAAAATTGAACATCACTGAATGTAAGGTGGCAGAATACCAAAGGGATCATCCTGTGTAATCTTGATAGAAAACAATCAGTTAAAATGCAAACAGCACCAACTTGCTCTACAGCCTGAAGATTTATTTTTGAACATGTATTAAAACTACAAATTTTAACACTCAAGAAAGTCCAAATTAATTTTGGTAGAGAAAATATTGAGTGCTACTAATTTTTTATTCAATTTTAATCACTGGATGAGATAATGCCAAAAGCATACAGTATCATGAAATGAATAAAAGTAATACAACAGTATTTTAAAACACCAAAACCACTTTATGGGTGAATAAAATGAAGAGAGATTCTTGCTAACAGTTGAAAACTCAATGAAGATCTTTGAAAAAATTACTAAATAAACATAGTTCTATGATGTAAGAATAGTTTATTACCTCATACTGTACAGTTTTTCTTCATTTTTTAAAAAATTTAAGTAATATATAATTTTGAAAGCTTTTTCACACTGTTAAAGCAATCATTAATAAAAGAGAGAAATGAACTGCCAACCAATGGGGAAAAGTTAGAAACTTTTGGATTGAATTGGAAAACAACAAGACAATTAAGAAATTGAATCCTCCTAACAAATCTTGGACTTTCTGGTCAGGCTGAATATTGTTGTTTTTCTTCAAAAATGAAAAACAGACTCAGGAAGAAATAGTTTAACCTTCTGAAAATTTCCATTATACGTGAGGATGGACTGATCTTAATTGCAAGACAGAAATTCTGCTTATTCTTAAAAGCAGAAAATGAGTCTGTTAAGCATAACTGCAGTGTCCTGACTCAAGCAATACGCACACTTTCCCAATTCTATTTCACAACAGCTCTAACTTAAAATCACGTAGTGTTCATATGTTTATTACATAGCAAAAAATTACATTATCTTTAATCTTCTAATGCCTTTCTGAGAAAAATATATATATATGTAATAACCTATTTTAATTCGAGAGTAAAACTCTTAAGAATTCTGTGAGTAACTTCTTCTAAGAAGATAGGTTAACAAGATTTAATAGCATACTCCCAACAGCAACTTTACAAAATGTTTCTACTCTTTTATTTAAAGAATTTCTTGACTATTTAAAGTGATTAGGTAAAGACAAAAACCCAAATGAAAGCAATACCCTCTTCCCCAAGTTTTATGCATTTTGGGTCACTGCAACCAGATGCTACATAACAACTCTGTGGTTATCAGGAATTAATTCATCACTAACACAAAAGTATTAACAAAAATGAAAGCAAAACAAAGAATTAAAAATTTTAAAATTCTTTAATGGAATTGCTCTGAGGTCACAAGACTCTAGTATTTATTCCCTAGCACCTCTGGTGATATCTATTGAAAAAGTAACAAAAACTCTAGAAGGTAAGGAAAACTATAAAAGAACATAGCATCGCAATGATATTTAGTATATGGTCTCTCTTGCTCTTGTTAGCGTAGCCATTATTTTTATTACGTGCTTCCTATGTTCAAATGAAAGAGTCAAATTTCTAAACTCTCAGTACTGCTTACTCTCAGTGATTAAACACTGGATAACTCTACCAAGATGGAATTAATGTTAACATTCTGATAAGCAGCTTTATTCTTCAAGCTATCCTTTAGTACTAGTACTCTACTTACTCAAGCCATATACATGTTGTACATTAAAGTATTTTTAGTCCAAAAAGTACCATATTAATGCTTGTCCCTTGTTTTAAACACAATACTTCCACATCTCTCAATGAAAACAAAAAGACAGCTAAATGCTGACAGCCAGAAGCCCAGAAACAGTGAGAGAAAACAACTGAACAGATCAAATCAGTATAGTAGTTCCATCAAGCCAGTCAATCCTAAATGAAATCAATCCTGAATATTCACTGGAAGGACTGATGCTGAAACTCCATTACTCTGGCCACCTGAGCAAAGAGCTGACTCATTGAAAAAGAGCCCATGTTGGGAAAGATAGAGGGGATGGCAGAGAATGAGATGGTTAGGTAACATCATTGACTCAATGGACATGAGTCTGAGCAAACACTAAGAGACACTAAAGGATGGGGAAGCCTGGAATGCGGCAGTTTATGGAGTCACAAAGAGTCGGACACGACCTATTAACTAAACAACAACAAAGCATTTTATGTCTTCTGATCTTCTTCCTCTAGGCTCTTTCTAAACTAAATCCTATAATTGTGCTCTATTCTCAATCCAGGATTATGTGGTTGGTACCCAACTGAGCTAGTTTTTGCTGTGCATGTGTTTAAAAAGGGGGAAATTTATAACTCACTTCATGATACAATTAAGTGCATTATAGGATTAGTAGCTGTTTTAAAACAACTTAATTCTATTCAATGACCACAGGCTTGCATCTCTAACTCCAGCTATCCATTCATCAATGTCACTTTCACACAGAGGAAATAAACCCCAAAAATACAAGAAAAACAGCATACATTCATCTCTGCTCTTTATTAGATACTGAGTTTTAAGACTCATGTTTAAATTATACCTGGCAAGAACATTAATACTATCCTTAAGCTCAAAACTTAGTTTTACTTGGCATTCAAGGTATTAAACTTATGATGTCTAAGGCAGACAGGTCCTTTAGAGAATGTCAAGCCAAAACTCATCTTAAAATGAGGAAACATGAGGCCTGTGCCTAGATAGCTTGATTTGTTCAAGTCAGAATAGGAGAAATAAGAGAAATGGGTATAGAAGGCAGATCTTCCAGGTTTTGTCAGTACCACTATGTGTCTTCACTAAAAATAAAGACAATTTTAGATAAAATTGTCAGTTCAGCACACCATTCTTTGAACTTAAAAGGATTTGGGACTGAAGAGACTGCATCACAATTGAAAACTGAAAAATCAATTAATTCTTTGACTTCAGGTCTTGGAATTTACAACATGATCATGTAACATGGCTCATTTCAAACTGTTTCTTTCAAAACAGTGAGTTAAGTTCCATTGCCAATGACTGGTACTTTAAATGAGAGCTAAAGGTGAAGCTTAAATTATTTGCCATTCATTAATGATAAAAAATACATGGGATATAACTCTAACTACTCATAAAACTGGAGTCCAAAAGGACTTTTAGGCCAGAATTTATTTCTCTGAAGACAACAAAATAAATTATCTAAAGGAAAAAGAAAACTTTTATTATATAGGTTTGATGAACACACAAAATGATTCCTCAAGACATAATTCTATGTTAAAAGTTCAATAAAACACAATTGGTCTATAAAAGAGCCATGAGTTTCAGCATTAAGCAGATTCATTATTGTTTGGCTAGTAAAAAAAAGTGAAAGAATGGTGAAAAAAATCAGTGTTAAGTATGTAGCAATAAAATATGTAAGCTGAATACTGATAGAAAACTTAATATACAAGCATCAAGCCAAAGTTTCCAAATGGAAAGCCATGAATACTCATGTTTGGGGTAGAAAGAATCAAAAAACAACAAATATCAGAGTTCAAGGCACAGCTCAATATAATACAAATATAACTGAATGATAATGACTATAGGAATCTTTTCCATTTCTTCTCCCACCCTCATTTTTAAATAAAGAGGAACTATAGAAAAATATGAGAAATGACAAACTGAGAGGGAAGTTACATTTTCTTTTATGGGAAGTAGAAATCCTTTCAAGATTGCTAATACAGTCAACAGGATCTAATTTTACTCAAATCATGATTAAATTTCAAGATGTTTTCTTATAAAGCAAAAAAGTCACCCAGTTTTCTGTAACTGTAGAATATAACAGCTTTATAATATCTTCAATACTCACCTCTTCTGGGGTGATAACTCCTGTTTCCTTAAACTTGGATTCCTAAAGAGAGTAAAAAGAATAACAGTATTACACTCTTTCAATTCAAAAAACATCTGTGGGCAACTATTTGCCTGACAATTTCCATTCCAATCCCAAAGAAAGGCAATCCCAAAGAATGTTCAAACTACCACACAATTGCACTTATCTCACATGCTAGTAAAGTAATGCTCAAAATTCTCCAAGCCAGGCTTCAGAAATACGTGAACCGTTAACTTCCAGATGCTTAAGCTGGTTTTAGAAAAGACAGAGGAACCAGAGATCAAGTTGCCAACATCCGCTGGATCATCGAAAAAGCAAGAGTGTTCCAGAAAAACATCTGTATCTGCTTTATTGACTATGCCAAAGCCTTTGACTGTGTGGATCACAATGAACTGTGGAAAATTCTGAAGGACATGGGAATACCAGACCACCTGACCTGCCTCTTAAGAAACTTGTGTGCAGGTCAGGAAGCAACAGTTAGAACTGGACATGGAACAACAGACTGGTTCCAAATAGGAAAAGGAGTACATCAAGGCTATATATTATCACCCTGCTTATTTAACTTATATGCAGAGTACATCATGAGAAATGCTGGGCTGGAAGAAGCACAACCTGGAATCAAGATTGCCGGGAGAAATATCAACAACCTCAGATATGCAGGTGACATCACCCTTATGGCAGAAAGTGAAGAACTAAAAAGCTTCTTGATGAAAGTGAAAGAGGAGAGTGAAAAAGTGGGCTTAAAAGCTCAACATTCAGAAAACTAAGATCATAGCGTCTGGTCCCATCACTTCATGGCAAATAGATGGGGAAACAGTGGAAACAGTGTCAGACTTTATTTTTGGGGCTCCAAAATTACTGCAGATGGTGATTGCAGCCATGAAATTAAAAGACACTTACTCCTTGGAAGGAAAGTTATAACCAACTTAGATAGCATATTAAAAAGCAGATACATTACTTTGCCACAAAGGTCTGTCTAGTCAAGGCTATGGTTTTTCCAGTGGTCATGTATGGACGTAAGAGTTGGACTGCGAAGAAAGCTGAGTGCTGAAAAATTGATGCTTTTGAACTGTGATGTTGAAGTGGACTCTTGAGAGGCCCTTGGACAGCAAGGAGATCCAACCAGTCCATCCTAAAGGAGATCAGTCCTGGGTGTTCATTGGAAGGACTGACGCTGAGGCTGAAACTCCAGTACTTTGGCCACCTCATGCGAAGAGTTGACTCACTGGAAAAGACCCTGATGCTAGGAGGGATTGGGGGCAGGAGGAGAAGGGGATGACAGAGAATGAGATGGCTGGATGGCATCACCGGCTCGATGGACTTGAGTCTGAGTACACTCCGGGAGTTGGTGATGGACAGGGAGGCCTGGCGTGCTGTGATTCATGGGGTCACAAAGAGTCAGACATGACTGAGCAACTGAACTGAACTGATTTGCCTGGCACCCATCTAGGTAATGGAATGTGAAAAAAAAAATCTGTCACTGGTACCTGACCTCAGGATTATGTAGCAGAGGAAACTGACATGAAAGTAATTAAAATACAGTGTGATCAATGTTTCATTAGAGCAAAGCTCTTTGGAAAAACATTCAAAGGTTTATACAAACACTAAACCTCAAAATAATTTTGTAAAATGACTAAATATCATTATTTTACGAGACAGCAAAAATATCTTAAGATGTTTAGACATCTTACAATTCAGCCAATGTCTCACTGAAATTGAGTAATATTAGAAACCAAACCTAGAAGTCCTAAACCATTTAATACTTTCCATTATTCTCATCTCCACCAAGATAGTATACACTATACTCTCCCTAAAGCAAGGATGTTACTTACCAAATTTTTCTAAAGTTTAAGTTTTACATAAGATTTTACGGTAGAAATTTACAAAAATGAAGATCCATTTATGAACATTACTGATTTAAAAAATACCAAATTATACATACTAAGCACTATTTGAGTAATAGGGACATAGAGTGAATAAAATAGACCAAATTCATCCTTGTCTTCCTAATAAGTTTAAACTCTAGTGCAGGGAGAAAAGCCAAATGGTAATCAATACCAGGAAGAAAAATAAGGCAGAGGATACTAGTGGGGATGGAAAGAGAGAGATTGTTATTTCACATAGGATGGCGAGGGAACAAAGATTTCACTGATGGGTGACTATACAGTAGAGACCTTAAGAAAAGCAAACAGCCAAATGCTGAAGAGCATTTCAGAGCAAATGCAAAACCCAAGGCAAGAGAGTTCTTTTTTTTTTTTCTTTTTGAGAGCTCTTGATAGATAATGCAAAAGCGAGCAAGAGGTTTTGCTTAAAAACCAGTAGTAGTTGAGATAGGACTCTTCATCAAATCAGTATGGGCTTCCCTGGCAGCTCAGTGTTAAAGAATCTACCTGCCAATGCAGGAGACTCCAGTTCATCCCTAAGTCATCAAGATCACCCGTAGTAAAATAGCAACCCACTCCAGTATTCTTGCCTGGGAAATCCCACAGACAGAAGAGTCTGGAGGGCTACAGGCCATGGGATGGCAAAACTGTCAGAAGCAACTTCGTGACTAAACAAAAACCACTGTAGATCCCTGTAAGGACTTTGGCTTTCACTATACATACACCTTTCAAACCACAATTTTTCTTAACTTTTACTTCCTAAGAGAAATCATTCTTTCTTTCCCAGGAATTTAGCTTGTTCTCCCTGCTTTCCCATGTCTAGTAGGAAACTATCAATACAAGAATTAGCTTTGTAAAAACGGGGAAGTTTGCACAGGGACGAACAAGAAGAGGGTCATTAATTCTTTTTTCCTTACTACTAAAACTACATACTAAGAAGCTAACACATTTTTTCAGTTTGGTGAACAAGTAGAACGCTTCCTAAAAACATAATCTTTTTTATAAGTTCAGTAAAATACAACTGGTCAATAGCAGTTTCATGTTTAAGAAGTCTTTTTCTCTTGCTCCTCTCTCCTTGAAACTAAAAAGCTTTATAAGCATGTATTATTTAAATGCTGTATGCCTAGTTAGACATGTTTCTGAAGAATCAAATGTCAAAATCATTTTCAATTTCAAAATAGACTAAATACTCTTAATTAGGATGGGTTTCACACTAAACAAATACAGGTATGGCAAGTGTTGGAGTTCTCATTTTTAACTTTTTTTTTAAACTTGGCCCAGCAAGGTATAATTTTAAACAATTCTTAGTAATAAGTATTTAAAAACACAGGTATAACATTTCCCACTGTCCTGGAAAGGGAGTAAAGTAAAAATTTTAAATACCAGAGTAACTTCTTGAATAAAGAGGAACCATTTCCAAGGGTTTTTCATCCCCACACTAAGAAATGTAAAATTTTAATTGAAAACTTACAGAAAAAAACACTTAAGCAAGAAATCCTTATTCATTTACTTTTCATTATTGCTTGCTTTCCGGAAAGGAAAAATAAAGTTACAATAACAACAAAAAAATCACCCTGAAAGAGTTATAAAAGAAAAACTCGAATGCACTTCGAAAAATTTATCTTTGAAAATAAGAAATCAGTCACCGGTTAAATAGGTAATATGTCACATTTTTACTTTTAAAATGCTGTTGTTGCCAATGTAAAATAAAATTATGTATTTAGAATGGTAAGGTTGCTCACGTCCAAGATGAACTAGTTTCAGCTATTTTAAAACCTGAAAAAGGGGGGCTTTGCCTGTAAACTGGGTTCAATGGTACTGAAAAAAAATGTTGCAAATTTCACCTTGTTCTTTTGAAATCTAACAAAGCTGCGACCTCATTCACAACTATTTCAAACTCCTAATTATAAGAGACTTACTATGAAATTTGAAAGAAAAAAGTGACATGTCATTTTAGTATCAAAAACTGACTTAAGATAAGCAATAATCCTTCTTTTAAAAGTTCAAAAGATTTCGGATGTTAAGATTTAACGTTCTCAAACCGACCTAACTACGGACCACCTTCCAACCCAAGGTACCCAGAGAAGTTGAGCTCCGACGGGAATAGACAAGAGTACAGACGCACAGAGCGTCGCTCCGCGAACAGATTAAGACCGCGGTAGGGGGCTGCACCTTTTCCCGCGTACCACCCTCACCAGCTGGCTACACCGCTCCCCGCCGGACACCACAATGACACTCCAGCGCTAGGTCCTCGGTCCCTGCAGAGCCAAGCGTGTGCCTGCCAGCGCCTCGCATGGCCGGCTTACCTTGAGGACCGGGGTCAGGTACTCAGCCACTTCCAGTGCCTTTCCCTTCACCGTGTTAATCACATTCTGCATCCTGGGGCCGGAGGGGCGGCCGGCCCCGCGAAGGCGTGAAAAGGGCAGCCGGGGCAGGGAACGAGAGTCAGAAAATGTCCCCGCTGCCGCCGATTCGCCTCAGCACCCAGTCGGCGGCACCCGATGGGACGGGTCGCGACGGGACGGACGGGACGAGGGGGAGGGGCGGACGCCGCGCCGCGCGACGGCAGGGCGCGCGCTCCTCTCGCTCCAAACAGCGCGCCACAGGCCCGGCCCAGCTATCACCTGGCGGCGAGTGAGGGCGACGGGGCTGAGTCGGCGGGCAGAAGCGGGCGCACGCGCACCCCTCGCCCTCTGGGGAGCTGTCTTCTCCACCAAGCTTCACTCGCGCCCCTTCCGGCTTCCCCTTCCTCTCACTCTCTTGCCGTAGCTCCGCCGCCACCTGGGCCTCACGTGACACAGGACTCTTCCCGACACGTGACGCGAGAAAGGCCGCGCTGGGGCGGGATCCGGTCGCTTCTCCCCTCCCTCCCGGAGCGTAACACTGAGCGTGCCTGCGCAATGGGCGGCAGGTCCGCTCTCTCCGCGTCGGTCGTTATTGTGCTTTTTGTTCCGGAATAGGAGGGTCTTTTCCAGAGGCCTATTCGCCTTTCTTTTCCTCCCATAGCTCCCTCGCCTATGGACCCTAAAAGCTGCCGCCGCTGCTGCTGTTGCTGAGCTAGACAGTTATCGTCTCAGCTCTAGGATGTGCGTTCTTCCACTAGAAGCTCTTCGAAGGGACCGAGGTAACCGCGCCCCCCCGCCCCGCGCCCGGGGCAAAGTGCGCGTGCGTGTGAGGGAAGGGCGCAGCAAACCAGATCCCTCTTGCGCATGTGTGACAAGAAGGCGTTCCTAGATGACGGAAAGAAACCTGTCCTTACCGAGGAGGGGAGGCGTCTCTGGCCACTGCAGGGTTAGGCTCGCTTGGGCTGCGGGTGTTGTCATTTTCAGCCCGTCTCCCATCAGTTTCCCACGTCCTGTGCGCTGTCTTTATACTAGGTTAGTTTGGGCAAGTTAATTATCCTGTCTAGAGTTTGGTAGCCTTAATATATCGAAAGAAGGCCTTAGAGTCATTGATATTTAAGTCGTCTTCTACTTTCAACAGTAATTCAGTATAAATTAACAGTAGTGTTTCGGATATTTCTATTTGGTCTTTATGGCAAAGAAATCTTTACCAGCAAGCGCTTTTTCATCCTATGGAAAGACGCTACTGAGGAGAAAAATACAAATCTGAAATTATCTTCTAGAGCAAAGTTGCTCATAAGAATGAAAGTTAAAGCATTGTTTTTCTGCAGAATTCTGCAGTCCTAAAGCGCCCTTCTAAAGTGTCCAGGTTAGAGGGCAGCACTTCTAACCTGGCTCCTGTGTTTATTGTCGGAGTTACCCCGTCCTATCAGAGATTTTATAAAATTGACTCTTTCATTTCATTTTCCCTGGTATCTCTTGTACTCCTCAACTTTTGGTTTAGGTATAGCCATAGCTAGACACCTAAAAAAATTATTTTTCTGTTCTTCACAGTAAGTGGTACTTGTATTATGCTTAATCTGCCAGCATGGTTGCTCATGAATTTATTATTCTCTTTAAGGGAATTAGAAAACAGTGGAATGGAAAACAATTGTGCTCATCCCATGTTAAGCGCCTCGTCAGCAATGTATACATTCCTGCTGGGGGCCGTATTCATTACTTTAAGTTCAAGTCGCATCCTACTGGTAAAATATTCAGCTAATGAAGGTAAGTTAAATTTGGAATATGTATGGAGTACTTCCATCTAACTGCACATTATCTTGTTTTTAGTTTCCTTGTGTATAAAATGGGGATAATACCCTTAAAAGTTGGCCACCATCTGGTGGCTCAGATGGTAAAGAATCTGCCTGCAATGTGGGAGACCCCAGTTCAGTCCCTAGGTGGTGAAGATTCCCTGGAGAGGAGAATGGTAACCCACTCCAGTGTTCTTGCCTGGAGAATTCCATAGACAAAGGAACCTGGTGGGCTACAATCCAGGGCTACAGTCCATGGGGTCACAAAGAGTCTGACAGGACTGAGCAACTTTCACTTTCATCATTAAAAGCCCTCTGCTTTATGTAAATGATAAAACATGTTTAAATATGATTCTTTAGTCTTGCATTCCTCACCAAGAAAAATTTTTGATGCTGAGTAAAATTTGGGTCAGTTAAGTACAGATCAAAACTTTTGCAGAATAGATCATAACATCTGACTGTTGCTTCAGTCAGCAGGTGTTTCTGAGCCTATAGCAATAAATAACTTATTTTGAAATAGACAAGAGATAAATTTGGACACCTGGCATTTGTAAGGTACTATTTTAATTACATTATCAGTGGAACAGTACAGGTTATTAGCTTTGGTAAATATATACTCAAGAAATCTTTTATTATTACTGATGTAAAAATTTATATTTTAACAGTTTAATTCACACTGGGCTAAATGTTAGTATTAAGGTTCAAAATGCATAAGATGTAGACCTTATTCTCAAGAATTCACAGTTTATTAGTAGAGAAATACATGTAAATGCATCAAGAAAATACAGTATAATAAGTGCAGTTCTATACTAAAAATGCAGAGGTAGTTTAGAGTAGAAGGTGATATATTCTATCTGAGAGAGCTTGATGTGGACTGCAAAGAGATCAGGGAACACTTCCCTGGTAAGGTGATAGTTGACCTACAAGAAGACAAGGTGGGCAAAGGTATTCAAAACAGAAGCAGCAGCCTGTAAAAATGGACAGATGTATCAAGAAGCAGAATGGATTGTGAGAGCATGTCATTCAGAATTACTGAGAAAAAATTTTAAGGACTTGGAGGAGAGGAGAAAGGAATGCTTGGCTAGAGAGGGCAGTAATGATCACATAGTTGAGGACTCCATAGGCCATGCTAAGGATCTGACACTTTAGGCTGTAGATTCTGGGGCACAGGGAATACTTGGAGAACTGTAAACAGCTGGATAAAATGAGAAAGACTGTGATAATAGCTGGGTGAAGACAAGACTAAAGGAAAAGAGAAGTAGCCAGTTGGGGAGTTATTACAAATTCAAGCCATAGATGATGACAACTAATGAAGGATTTTAAAGTGGGAATAGAGAAAAGAGGATCGATTCAAGAAATATTCTAAACATAGAGAACACAGGACTTGAAAATTCCCTGGTGGTCTGGTTTTAGGACTCCACTCTCTCACTGCACAGGGTCCTAGTTCAATCCCTGGTCAAGGGAACTAAGATCCTACAAGCTGGTGTGACCAAAAAAAGACAGGACTTGGAGAGTGTATTGAATGTGGAGATTGAAGGAGATGAAGTATTGGATAGTTCATTCAGAGATTTCTGGTTTAGATGCCCAATAGACTAATGATGCTCCCAACTGAGATGGAGACCAGAAGGAGAAGACTGGACAGAGCTCACAGAGATTAAAATTTTAGCTCTTGTACCTCACATGAGGCCAGGAGCTGTGTCCTGCAATGTCTAGTGCCTCACACATGTCAAGGAACTGCCAGTTTAGAAAATAAATAGAAGGTAGTCATTCATGTGGATATATTTAGTGAGCATTAAATGTTCCAGAACACAGATTTGGAAACATTAATATTAAATTGACATTTAAAACTTGATGAGCAGAGGGCTCATTCAGGGTAAGCACACAGAATGAGAAAATAAGAGCCAAGGATAGAAATCTGAGGAATGCCAGCGGTTAACAGGCATGCAAACACTCAAAAGGACCTTAAGAAGGAATTAGAAAGATGAGAGAACTAAATGCACATGACTTGTAGAAGGGAGTTTGAAAACGGGGAGAGAATTGCAATATCAGGATAAGATAAGGATTAAAACCTACCCTTTGGGATTATTAATTAGAAGGTCTAATCTCAGGGACTAGTTAGTTGGAGTACTGAGGTGTGATCAGAAACCAGACTGTTCGGGGACAAGATCTGAGTGGAAAGTGGATATAATAGGGTTTTGGGTTTTTTTTTTTTTTTTAAGTTGGTAATTTTGAGCATATTTGTAGTAGAGGAGAAGAAGGCAGTTAATAGAAAGACAAAGAAGATACACTGAAGCCAGAGGAAATACTTACTGTAGCAAAGCCCCTGAAGAGAAGGGAAGGTTTTAATGGGGAGAATGGATGAATAGTGAGGCCATGGCTGTCCTCTCTGGGACTGAAGAGAAACCAATAAGGATGGGTATTGTGTAGACAAGATTGTGAGTGTGGGCAGAAGGTGAGTGGAATGATACCGTGGCATGATTTTGAATCAGCCATGAGAGAAATACAAGGAAAAAAACAAAAAACAAGAATGAGTTAAAGAGCAATGACAAGAGTTTGAAAGTTGTGGTCTGAGGCCCTCCATTTTTGTGTGTGCATGTATGCTCATGTATATCATGCCAGAGAATAATGCAAGTATTGTTGGAGAATAATAGAATGTGATTTCAATCTAGCTTTGAGCTCAGAAAAGGGATGAAGAGACGTTCTTAGCTAAGCTTTTAATGATGGACAAAGTTTAAGAGACAGTTAAGTAAGTGCCTGTAGTACAGAACACTTAACTGCCAGGTATAGAAAGATGACTAACATGGTCCCTGTCTTATTAGAAGCTTACATTTTAAGGGTAAGACATACAACATAAAAAATAACCATAATGCAATGTTACAAGCACTGTTAAAAGATTTATAGGCAGTTTCCTGAAAACTGGGTTCATCTCTTGGTGGATGTTGAACCAAAAGATACAACTAAGCCAAAGATCAGGAGAAGAAAGGATTTGTTACTTGTAGCAAGTAAGAACACCAGAGAGCTTTCCCAAAGCAGTGTCTCCCCAAAAAGCAAAATTGGGGAAGTTTTAAGTTAAGGTGCATTTTATGAAGGGGCTTGGCTTATTGACAGAATCCAGACTTTAGCTGACTGAAGTTGCAAGGGGCAGAAAAGGTCAACATCATCATCCCGTAGGTTCTGGTTGATCTGGTAGGTGAACACTGCAGTCTCATCTTTACCATTGAAACTGAACTGGGAGTCTTTAAAACTGATATGGTTGAGTGTCTTATGAACTGATATCTTTACTGATGTCACTTTTCTTGACTGATAACAGTTTATTCCTACATTCTTTTGTTTCCATAAAATTCTTAATTATTGAGACCTGTTCAAAGATAAGCATTGTGGCCAAGTTTAGGTCACAAGATGACTTAAGCTAAAAATGGCATCTCATGTCAAGAGAGCCATGCCTGTTCTCTTTCTCCAGGGACCCCTGACTTCATCTGCTTACAGTAGTGCTACAGGATTGGAGATGAATAAAGGATTGATTATGCATGGGTTGAGAGGGTGAGGGAAAACCACAGAAAAGAGGAAGAAAGAATGTTCTGGGAAGAAAGAATGTTGAGTTGGCTTTTTTCCTTTCTACTTGGCCAGTTTGGGTTTTTCATATGACAACCAAGGGAAACAAGCAAATATTTTTTTAAAAGTACATTCCTCAAAATAGTACTGGATAAAATTTATGTTTGTCCTTGGCAAAATTATACAACAAGTTATTTGTAAGCATTTGGAAAACAGATGTAATAGCTAAGTCAGTATATACTAACCAAATCTCATTTCCTAATTAGATTGACTTGTAAGTTGGGACATCTCTTACTAATGTGTCAGTGGGTTTGGATATGTCTGAGAGCATGTTCGTCCACCCCAGAGCCCTGGGCTAGTTGCCTCTTGCCTCAGGTTGCTTCCTTCTTGTGACCTCAACATCTGTTTATCCCAAAGTGCCTAACTAATAATGTTTTCCATGTGGACAATCATATGAAACAGATAGGAAACCTCTGAGTTAGGGAATATCACAGAATGTATGTTGGTTTAAGCAAGGCACATAAGACACATAAGAGGAACCATGAGCTGGGTAATAATTCAGCTATGTAAGTTGACAGCTGGTTGATGAGCTGGGTGATAATTCAGCTACGTAAGTTGACAGCTGGTTGATGAATCAGGCCCTGATTGTTAATTAATAGTCCATTTAGAAGGTGGTCTCTAATGCCGTACCACAAAGCTTTCTTTGCTGGTAGCCCTAGCCCCCTTAGCACATTTTTCAACAATTTGAATGAAAACATGAGAGATGTAGTTCTCAATTTCAAGGATAATAAAATACTGAGGTAGGGCTAACTAACACATTAGGTGAATTGATTCAAACATCGGAAAGAACAAAGCCAACTGGATGAAATGTAATGTAACCAGTATTAAAATCTAACTATTAAGTTTAGAAACAACTCTAAATTATTAAATATTAGTGTATGTAAGCTAATATGGGTTTATGTAGGTTTCCCTGGTGGCTCAGTGGTAAAGAATCTGCCTGCCAATACAGGAGATGCAGGTTCAATCCCTGGAAGATCCCCTGGAGAAGGAAATGGCAACCCACTCCAGTATTCTTGCCTGGGAAATCCCATGGACAGAGGAACCTGGCAGGCTACAGTCCATGGAGTCACAAAAGGATCAGACACAACTGGGCAACTAAACAACAACAAACATTATGTAGACCAAAATTTATAGTTAAAAAACATTTCTGTTTCATTTCAGAGAACAAATATGATTATCTTCCAACTACTGTGAATGTGTGCTCAGAACTGGTAAAGCTGGTTTTCTGTGCGCTTGTGTCATTCTGGGTTTTAAAGAAAGGTGAGTCTTGACATGATACTATCTATATAACTGGTTAAAAACCAGAGAATCAAACAATTTTAGAACTGAAAGAAACGTTTTATGTCAGTTAACCTAGCCCATTAATTGTATATATGAGGATGCTAAGATACAAATAGAAGTACAATTACCCATGTTTGGCAGGTAAGGAACAGGCTCAAACAAAGTGTGAGGTGGTGCTGGGTAGGAGGAGGCAGAGCCCCAATTCCAACCCACATGTCCTAGCGTCCTGTCCACTGCTCTGCCTCTTGACTTGTTCCTGTGGTGGGTCCCATAGGGAGTTAATTTGTATTCAAGTTCAGGATCATCTAAATCACTGCCATCTCACTTGATATGTGCATACTGGACAGCAGTCCACATTTCATTTAGGGGAGGCAGCATACCACTTTTAAGTCAGAGAGACTATATTCTGGGGCAGATTATTTTACTTTTCTGAGTTCCAGTTTCATTAGCTATCAAATAGGGGTACTAATCCTTCCTTATATCTAAAGTGAGTAGCCTTTTGTTAATTCTCCAGTTACTGAACTTTACCTCTCTACTACTTTGGTTTGCCTTCCCACATCAGGTAAACAGAGAACTTAGACTGCTAAAAGCTTGCCCCAAAAGATGTCTTTTCATTTTAAAAGTTTCAGTCTGTGTGACGTTTCTAGTTGGTAGAATACATTTCTTATCTCATAAAATTTATACTAGGGCTTAAATATAAATTGACTTCTATCTTTTCATTTTATTTTACATTCTCTGTTAAGTACCTTCCTAAGTTTTTTGGAAACCTAGAGATAGGATAATAACTCATACTAGGACGAGTAAAAGTTAATTTTATCTACTCCCCTCTATTTAAGTTTTAGTCAGTATCTCCCTTTTGTGATTTCCTCCCCCCCCTCCCCACACAGCCCCCCCAGGGTAAAAAACTTCCATCGCGAATGATTGATTTTTCTTTCCACTTAAAAATTTTAACTGGTTGATCTCTTTTGGCTTTATGCTCAGAGTAGTAAGAGAAACGATAAGGGTATTCTGAGTTGCGTTCTTCAGTGATACATCTATCTCAGGTTAGCAGAAATTAAGAAAATCGTAATTCCTAAGGTGTTGCTGATACCAGTGATGGGCACAGTGGTGGGGTGAAGAAAGACAGTAATGAAATCCTGTGTTGTTCTTGATTTCTCAAGACTAATAGTCACTTATGAAAGCAAGTTTGTTAAGCCTCTTTTAAAGAATTGTGTCAGGAGTCAATATAAGTTACTTTCTCTAAAAGTTCGTGCATTCTTATCAAGGTCATATACTTATTGCTGTATTTCTTTCTCTAGAAGATCATCAAAATAGAAAGTTGAGGTGTGGTTCCTGGAAGGAATTCTTTAATTTCATGAAGTGGTCCATTCCTGCCTTTCTTTATTTCCTGGATAATTTGATTGTCTTCTATGTCCTTTCCTATCTTCAGCCTGTAAGTAAATAATGACAAAGAAAATAGCACTGAAAAGACAAGAGAAATAAATCCCAGAACTAACCTTTTTCTCTTTTTTAATTGTTTACCTTACCTTTGTTACTTTCTCATTGCCTCACTGACCTTCCTAAGGTTTTACCAGAATCATCTGAGCACAGCCAATCCACTTGCCAGACTCTCCCGCTATGAAAGATAACTATTAAACTGTGCTGACTGATCTGAGGGAGCTGCTTCCTGATCCCTGAATCTAGAGCCATCTCTGTGTAACCTTAACCTATCTGCCTATTTTCTGAGCAATCCTGTGGTCATACACCTCTAATGCTAATCTCAGTACCCAGGACCTCTAAGCTGACTCCAGTGTTGAACTTCAGAAAATTATATTCTCAGTGCTCTTATACTTGTTTTAATGTGGTTTGTATGTATTCTATTGGTATGATTTTCTTTTTGTGTTAGTCCTGTCATTTAACCAACAAGTTGTTTAAGGGTAGAGATTCTATCCTCCCAATCTAAATGCTATCCATAACTGATAATACTAGAAATGCTTCTTGTCTCTTCTGGCATTCCCTGTACCAATTTAGAGAGCCACTAGTAATCAAAATTAAACTTTGGTCTTCTGCTTTTGGAGCAGGAAGTGGCAACCCACTCCAGTATTCTTTGCCTGGAGAATTTCATAGATAGAGGAGCCTGACAGGCTACAGTCCATGGGGTCTCAAACAGTTGGACACAATTGAGCGATTAACACACATTTCTGCTTTTACTTATTATTCATTTGGGATCACATATATTTTTTCCTCTCTCTAGTTTTATTTTATAAAATAAAGGTTTCTGTTGCTGCATTTAACAAAATTGTGTTTTATTTTAAAGAGCAAATTCATTCATTTTGATTATAAGTAGGATTTCTGTTGACACTAATCCTGTATTTGAAGCCTCTTTAGGTATAGCCAAATCAGTTTGAGAGTGGGGTGAAAAGGAGGGCTCAAGAAGGCACTGAGGTGGAGAACAGGAGTTTGATTTTTTTGCACAATTTAGAAGATTAGAACCAGGCAAAAACAAACTGCTCTATAAAAATAGAATAATGTTACCATACTAGCCCAAAGGCAAGGACCTGGGCCAGAGGAACACCTGAAGTTCCTTCACCTGTGGTGCATTTTATTAGTAAGTGTTCATTGCATCTAAACTGTGTCCTCTTCTAAATTCTTTCACTTTTGTTTTTCAGATCTGAGAATTCCTGTACCCAACAAATAAGTTTTCACATTCAACAAGTATATGTTTGTCGTGTTTCGTTGGTGTCTAACAGACTAGCTCTAAATTTATACTGCTTTGCTAAATCCCCAGTACTGAAGCAAGATTGCAGCTTCCTTTTCTTACAACTTATTGCTTTGCTCTTCCTTCCCGATTGCTTACAAACACAAATACTACAAAATAAATCCCCTGGCATACATACTCTGTGTATTGCTGTGCCCAAGCCTAGTGGGAAAGAATTAGAGATGCATGGCAGTTTGGGGGCAAAGAGCTCTGATATTTTGTTTATTCTGTACTACTGCCCTGGACAGAGTGGATACCAGTGCCCCAGGCCAGCAGGCTGTTTAATTGTGTATCTTTGCACTGCTGTTACTGTGACTGACAAGAGCCACCACTTTCCAACTTAGCAGCCACACACTTTTCTCATCTCCTCTTACTCACCTCCTAACCAGGGGCTCGCAAGCATTTATCTACAGAGAAAATCTTAAAATAATGGTTCCCGTAAAAATGGAGTGGAAAAAGAGCAATGTTGCATTCTTGGAGTTTTTGCTAGTTTTTATTGGATTTACTCATTTCTCTCATTCAGCTGTATATTAGTCATGTTTACTGGTTGTATAGATGGTGGAAACTCTTTAAGGTTTAATCAATGTAAAGTGACAAGGAAGGCAGTAGGACTTGTTTTTGAAAATAATTAACATTGTCAGATCCAGTTATGAGGATAATGATTAATTTCATACTTTCTGGGCCAAAATGTACATATATTCAGATTAATATTCTCATGTGCAATTTGACTAAATTCAGAGAAACAAACCTTTATAAAAATCTGGCTAGCACCTTTCTAATTTTTTCCCATTGTTCAGAACAATGGGAATAAATCCAAAGGACTGTCAAGTATGAGTTTGGTAATGAATCACTGATATTGAATCACTATAGTTCAACCAAGTAAATTGATTTCATTCTAGAACATTAAACATGCCTAAAAACCTATACCTCTATCTTCGTATTATATAAATGAGCCTAATAGTACTTGCCTTTTCTCTCTATCCACAGAATCACCATTAAAAGACTATATAAATCTCTTTGAGAGCTTGAAAAAGTATGCTTTATAGTCATGGTAACCATTATTTCTGGACTTAAACCTTTAGAGTTTATAAGTATTTCCAGATCTGCTCATACAGATTATTGCTCAGGCATTTGCTGAACTTCAACACATTTTCAAAGCCTGTACAATGATTTGATCATATCTGCATAAATTAAACCAGCAATAAAAATAAAATTTAATCCTTTAGTGAAGTAGTTGCCCTAATAATCTCTCTGGGTTTTGACCAAAAAGCTTTTTTGGTCAGGTGAACTTGCACCAAGCTCAGAGATTTCTAAGGTCAGTGCTTTGTTTGGATTGTAACTCTATCTTCTCTTTCTTTCTAGGCCATGGCTGTTATCTTCTCAAATTTTAGCATTATAACAACAGCTCTCCTATTCAGGATAGTGCTGAAGTAAGTAACTTGCTGTGAAAGCATATATCATACTTTAAAGTGGCACCGCCTTGTTTCAGATGATATACCCTCTGGAATCCCAAGGCTGGGATTTTATTGCTAATTGGCTTTGTGTATTGGGCACGTTGTCTAACCCATCTGAAAAGCAGCTGCAGTGTTAGCATGCGATTCAGTGTTTGAAATGTTTTTCCTTAGCATCTCAGAAAAAGAGACGAATGACTGTATTTTAATTATTTTAGTTTTTAGTGCCAGATTTTCAACAAAGAATTCATTAGTCTTTTTTTTTTTTAAACAGAATCTCTGTACATTAATAGCGAACCAAGAAGTTCCTAAAATTAATGTATTTGTTATTTGGAGTTTGGAGATGATAAAAAGTGACAAATTGTCTTTATTAAAGTCCTTGAGATAAGTATGTTATTTAAGCTCTAACTGGCAGAGGATTTGCAACAAGTTTAAATAGGCTCTGCTGCAAAGCAAAGGCCAGAATGTCCTAAGGTGATATAGGATCTGGGTACTTAACTCCAGTTTAATTTGTTGTTTAATGATGGTGGTGATGATGGAAAATAAAATAACTTTTTGTTATATTTGTTATGATTGTTTTAATTTTACATTCACTTTCTGTTTTTAATTTCTTTCTGTCTACTGTGACAGAGTGTTTTCATGATTGATGTGCACAGAAGGGTGAAAGGCTTGGTACATAGGCACTCAGCAGTTATTTGTGGAATCCCTTGATGCATTCAGTTTAGAAACTGTATGATATTCTTGAAAGATTTTCTTTTACCTTGAGAAAGCATTCAGTTTAATGGTTGATGTAAGATATGGGGAAAAAATGAACATAGCATTTCAACCAATTTAAATGTTAGAGTAACTGAAATTTGCTTTTGCATCACTTTCTTCATTTATGAATTGTGAGAATAATTCAGTCCAACTAGTAAGTAAAGAATGCTAATCCAAAAACATTTTATAGTCTTTAAAATCAGCATGAATGTTACTTAGTAGGATAAAAGTTGGCTTATATGTAAGCAGTTATATTTTTATATTGATTCTTGTGATAAAATTGAGATTCATTTCCGTAAAGGAAAAATTATTGGCTCTGACACACAAAAAGGCTCACTATTAGGGGAACAATAGTTTAAAAAACATGCATTTTTTGTTCTGTTTGAGGTTTTTTTTACCTTTAAGTTAAAAAAATGTTTTTTCCTATGAAATGACAGTTTATGAGTATGCATGTTGTTACTATGTAATGCATAAGTATTATGCCAAAATTACATTAATTTAAAACTGATTTTACCAAAGAGAAGGTTAAAAGTATGTTATTGCCTGGCTTGAGATTGGCCAGTAGCTCTAGCTGTGCCCAGAGTTGGTTGGTTTTTTTTTAGTGACTCCAGAGCATGAGCAGGGCCATAGGCAGAGGTGAGGGCCACTTGGAAAAGCCCTGCCCAGGGTGCCCTGACTGCCATGTGGACAGCTATACGGGGAGGCTGTCCATCAGGCAGTGACCAGAAAACCCTAACGCCTCCACAGGGCCTCTCCACCCTGTTCTAACTTAATCCCATAAGGACCCCTAATGGTAGGTTCAGTTAGACTGGGTCTGCCTGGAGCCTGGAGCCACTAAGCATTTTGCAGCCTTTGAGCAGCTCCCCTTGGCTGCAGAGGAGGGAGTCTAGGTGAATAGGCTGGGGGCAGAGAGGTAAACAACATTATGAACTATAGTTCAAACTTTTTTCTTCACATATTTTACCTTTTAATAAAATTCAAAGCAGTAATATTGATTCTTAGGCATTTGTTTACTTTGTTGTTAGTATCTTTGGTTTTTTTTAAGCTTTATATTTTGTATTGGGGTATAGCTAATTAACAGTGTTATGATAGTTTCAGATGGACAGCAAAGGGACTCAGCCATGCATAGTATGTGTATCCATTCTTCCCCAAACATCTCTCCCATCCAGGCTATACAGTAGGTCCTTGTTGGTTATCCATTTTAAATATGGCAGTGTGTACATGTCCATCCCAAACTCCCTAGTATCCATTCACTCTATTCTTTCCCTCTGCAACTGTAAGTTCATTCTCTAAGTTTGTGAATATCTCTTTGTTTTGAATACTTAGAAGTTACTTGGATTAAAGAAACAATAAATTGCTCCATTTTTATTATTTCCAGGAGCTTTAATTTAGTTCTGAGAGTGGGTCTTAGTTTGAGTAATTCACAAATCAGCCCTGAAGTTACTTGAAATAGTAGAGCTAAAATATGATAATAAATCTAATAATGTATTTTATGGAAATACCTTTTAAGTATTACCTGTTAATACATTTTAAAATTAACCTTGTTCTGTTTTGATCTTTTTGTTGCTGGTAATGTATGTTGCTTGTTTTCCCCTATGTAACTTAATTTTTGTGACTCTTTGATGGTCTTTGTGATAAAATTTTGACCTAAAAATAGTTTGTTTTTCACAAGTTTTTAATTTTTTTTGCCATAAATAACTCATTTAGAATATTGAAGATCTTGTCTTATACTTGATTCTGGCAAAGCCATCAAATACCTTTCCCATACAGATAAAGAGTATAAAGGCTATACATGTAGAAAAAAAATAAGTCCAATGACTAATGCAGGAATTTACTTGCAAGAATTTGAAAGTGAGAAAAACAAAAATGCCACTATCAAAATGTCTTATTCTCAACCCCATGTGATGCATAGATTCCTCTTTGAAGTATAATTAATGATTCAAAGTGGAAATATGACGAGCATGCCTCAAAGCCCCATTGCTTTGCTCTTAAGGCTTGGCAGAGTTGTATAATCTTGTTTGCTAGGCTTTAGGGAATAATACTTCAACCTGAACATCGAGATTTGGGAACAGAACCAGGAACAACACTTAATTTTACCTAAAGAATGTATATGAGTTTCTCTGATTTCTTCAAAGGGCAGGGAAAAAAATTATTAAAAAACACATTTTGAAACTTTGATGGGTATCTTGGAAGTTGTGGTAAACTTTACTTTCAGAAGTAGCAGGAGAAACAAAAGTGCCACTCAGTAATATAAGCATTTCCCCAAAACCATTCATTCACATGATAAATATTTTCTATAATTTCTCATGATAAATATGTCCCTGGTCATCCTGTGCTAATTAGAAAGGTTTGATGTATGGTTTCTTGAAAAAAGTTTTTTTTTCCACTTAAATATTTTCTTGCTCTGCCTTGGTTTATCACCAAATATGGTGTATATATGTATTGTGTGTATATGTATGTACATATATATGCACACTTTAGAAAATTTAACTTAAGATATGTGAATTTCCATTCATCATTCCTTTGATGAAGAGCTAAGGCCTTTCCTTTGTGTGTGTCTGGGATTTGCCAATGGGGTTGCTTGAACCTACTGTATATTACACATCATCCATGGTTTTCCAGTTCCAATTTCTTTAAAGTGGAACAAGCCTTAAAAATATTTTTTAGTAGATTCTTTATTATTCATTCCCCAATCTTAAAACTAACTCACCTGCACCTAATTCAAAGGCAGTTGTTTTTTTTTAAATCTTGTGATTTGCCTTTATTCTTAAAACTTTCAACTTAGTTTTCATAAAAAGAGCAATCCTTTTCTTTCACACATAATTTATGGTTTCTATAATCATTAAACTATATGATTAGAATAATGAGCTCACCTGGCCAAAACATGTTTTGGAACGGACACTTTTTTTGAACAAAAAGTTCACTTGGGAGGAGAGGCCCTCGGGTTCAGCAAGCAGCCTTCCATCCAGAAGCGCTCAGCTCTGCACATCAATCTGAATGTTTCATAGAGCAGTGGAGATGTCAATTGAGTGTCACTGTTGTTCTGTTTCTAAGTTGTGTCTGACTCTGCAACCCCATGGACTGCAGCACGCCAGTCTTCCCTGTCCTTCAGCACGCCAGTCTTCCCTGTCCTTCACTATCTCCATGAGTTTGCTCAAACTCATGTCCATTGAGTTGGTGATACCATCCAATCATCTTATCCTCTGTTGCCCGCTTCTCCTCCTGCCCTCAATCTTTCCCAGCATCAGAGTCTTTTCCTGTGAGTCGGCGTTTTGCTCAGGTGAGGTGCCAAAAGTATTGGAACTTCAGCTTCTGCATGAGTCCATCCCCTAAACTGAGGAGCACTCTTCTGTGCATAATCAGTCATCATTTCTAACAGCACAGATTCTCAGCTCACTTTACAGAGTAACTTACTGTTATATTTTCTTTGCTGAAAATCTATTTTCAGCCTAGTCCTTAGTAATTTTTAACCTTCCCCAGAACATTCTTGAATGAGTAATTATTTGTAGTAGGTACCATTTAGCTTGTATAAGGCTTTACTTTCTTAGCTTCTTTTTTCTCAGTGTCAATATTAGTGAAAATCTATAGCTTCTAAAGGACCTGTAGAGTATTATCATTGCCTCTTTTAACTTGATGCATAGTGATTGCTTATATGATGATTCTTATAAATTGAGCACCTCATCTGTGTCTTTTCAATTTCCATCACATTAGCTTTCTACCACTGAAGGTGTACCACTTGCATCTTCAGAAATGTAACTGACTAGTTAACAGTTTCTGACCTCATGAAGTAGGACTATGCTAGTCCAATCACTAAGTTCTAGATCTGGTTATTTGAAAGTGTCTGCACAAGAAGACATATGATATTATGCTCAGATAGTGCTGCCTTTGAGACTGTGTTAGTTAGCAGTTTCACAGCATGAAACTCTATGGATGCATTGGTGAGGTCACACGTATTCCCATATAGGCATACTGGGTACTCAGAATTGTATTGATACATAAGACGTGCATTGGTCCAGGAGGAGGACTTAACAAAACCATGACTCTGACTGCTTCATTGCTCTCATGAATACATGACCTTAGGGATGTCAGTTAACCTCTGAGAACCATTTCCTGCCCTAGAACAGACTGCCTGACCCATGGTAGATGCTGAACGAATGCTCCAAAATTCTTACTTCTAGTTCTCACCTGTTGCTTTGCACGTCGCCTTTGTTTATGTTGCTCTATTCTTGGTATTCCTCTTCTTCATCTGATTGACTGATCTTCAAACTTGAAGATGTTGTCACCTCCAGAAGCCTCCTTGACTGTTCCCACCTGACTGCCATCCTCCTCTTTCCTTAGTCAATGTACATTCTTTTAGCCTTTGAATAGACTTTTGCCTCTGCCTGGATATATCACCAACTGTCTTTTCACATGGCAAGCTTAAGTTTATTTTTCATCTTTTGGCTTAAGTGTCATCTCCTCTTCAAAGCAATACCTGATTCTATTTACAGCCTCAAGTGTTCCTTCCTCAATGTACCCTAGTTGTTCTGTGTATCACATGTCACATAAGACATTGTCATCATTTAGGTATGACTCTCCCTATTAAAGTGTAAATTTGTAGAGAATGGAGACCAAGTCTTTTTTCTGTTTGCAGAATTCCTGGCACATAGTTGCTACTCATGAAATGTCTGTTAAGCTGAATTCAGAAAATAGAATAATAATCATTGCATCCTCTTTTTCTCAAAATGTGTTGTTGGACAAAGTAGATACTTTGTCAGCTGAAACACTTAAAAAAAAAATATATGTATATATATATATTTAACTTGTCTTATCCAACAGTAGTTTGGGGTGTAATACCTTATGATGAGGCTATAGATCAGGGAGGTAGCTTCCTCTTTAAATCATTTCTGGATCATGAATACTTTTGAAAATATGACAGAGCTTTGAAGGGTCTCCTGGAGAGGGTAGGGAAGGCCAGAAATTCACCTATGTATTATAGAACCTTTCGCACACACTGTAAGAATTCACAGAAAAGTTCATCGCGTTTTCTCCTGATTCATGGAAACTATATTAAGAATTCCTGTTTTAACGTACTTCATTCCCAGATAAAAAGTGACTGTACCAAACAACTAAGATCAGCTCTCAAGGTAGAAAGGAGACTTGGTTAAACATATAGGTTAGAAGGAAATTTACAATGTGACGATCCCCTGAAGGAGGAAATGGCAATTCACTCCAGTAATCTTGCCTGGAAGATTCCATGGACAGAGGAGCCTAGGGGAGGTTGCAAAAGAGTCGAACATGACTGAGTGATTAAACAACAACTAGGAGAAATGACAATGGCAACCCACTCCAGTACTCTTGCCTGGAAAATTCCATGGACGGAGGAGCCTGGTAGGCTGCAGGCCATGGGGTCGCTAAGGGTTGGACATGACTGAGCAACTTCACTTTCATTTTCACTTTCATGCATTGGAGAAGGAAATGGCAACCCACTCCAGTGTTCTTGCCTGGAGAATCCCAGGGACGGGGGAGCCTTGTGGGCTGCCGTATATGGAGTTGCACAGAGTTGGACACGACTGAAGTGACTTAGCAGCAGCAGGAGAAATGACTAGATGGTGTCAAGGAATAATTACTCTAAAAAGTGAATAAAAATAACAAGTTCAAGAAGCAGACTCACCCAACAGATTTCCTTTGAACTTGAATTGTAGAGAATTCTAGCAAAAATGGTGTGGTTCAGGCAACCAAGTACTCAAGTAATTGAGTTTTCAGTAGAAATAGTTGATGTGGGAGGGGGGAAAATGAGTAATTAAAAATCTCCTTTTTCATCTTTGAACAGGAGGCATCTAAACGGGATACAGTGGGCTTCCCTCCTGATTCTGTTTTTGTCTATTGTGGCCCTCACTTCTGGGACTGAGACCTCACAGCATAGCCTGGCAGGACATGGATTTCATCATGACGCCCTCTTCAGCCCATCCAATTCCTGTCTTCTCTTCAGAAGTGAGTGTCCCAGGAAAGACAATTGCACAGCAAAGGAGTGGACATTCTCTGAAGCTCAGTGGAACATGACGGCCAGAGTTTTCAGTCACATCCGTCTTGGCTTGGGTCACGTTCTTATTATAGTTCAGTGTTTTATTTCTTCGATGGCCAATATCTATAACGAAAAGATACTGAAGGAAGGGAACCAACTCACCGAAAGCATTTTCGTACAGAACAGCAAACTCTATTTCTTTGGCGTTCTTTTCAATGGACTGACCCTGGGCCTTCAGAGCAGTAACCATGATCAGATTAAGAACTGTGGGATTTTTTATGGCCACAATGCATTTTCAATAGCCCTTATTTTTGTGACTGCATTCCAGGGCCTCTCGGTGGCCTTTATTCTGAAGTTCCTGGATAACATGTTCCATGTCTTGATGGCACAGGTCACCACTGTCGTCATCACAACGGTATCTGTTTTGGTCTTTGACTTCAGGCCCTCCCTGGAGTTTTTCTTAGAAGCCCCATCAGTTCTTCTCTCAATACTTATTTACAATGCCAGCAGTCCTCAAGGTGTGGAATATGTACCTAGGAAAGAAAGGATTCGAGATCTAAGTGGCACTCTTTGGGAGCGCTCCAGTGGGGTAAGTTTATGAGGATGCTACTGCTTCCCAAATTCAAAGCATGGTTATATGAGAAAAGAAATAGATCAGGGCTGTTTTATCACAGGACATATCTGATCTCTGTGAGTTTAAAAAATCATTCAACATTTGTTGAACTCCTTCTGTGTAAGGGCTCATGATAATACTGTAAGGGGTTGAAAAAAATTATAAATCAGAGTGCCAAGGGCCTTGTACATTAGCTGTATCATAGAATATTGTAGAATCATAGAGCCAGAGATGCTTCATAGGTTATCTTATCTAGTCTCCATAGTTTTACAATGAAGAAACAGACTCCGAGAGGCTTACTGGGTGACAGATAGTAAGTGAAAGAACTTGTAACAAACCCATGAGGTCTGACTCCTTATCTATTCATTACCCTTATCGCTCCACCATAGTTGAGGATAAAAGCTTTGTTTATAAGAAAAGTTGATCTTTAACATTAGTAAGTCTTGTTAAATGTATCACTAAATTGAAAGCCTGGCTCCTTCTATTTCTTGGTAGTTACTCATAAACCAGAGTGTGCCTGAAGGATATGCCTTGTTTATCTCACTAAGAAGGTGGTCCCCAAAAGGATCTCTGCACATTAACCAAAACTGTTTTCTAGAAAAGTACATATGCAGTTATTCTGAATATTCTTCTAAGTGCTTATAATTGTTTTAGGAAGGTCTGCCAGTCATACTATTAGCAAATAAATGGTGATCAGATATGTTTAAATATAACATGAGATAGAGTTGTCTATCTTGGTTTAAATTTATAGTTCTCATGAACACATGAGATAGTTCACACAATGAATGTACTTCATGTGATAGTTCATACAGTGAACATTTTACTCTGAGAAAGTCAGCCTATTGCTTATTAGAGTTCATGGCAGAGCTTCCCTCATTAATGCCTCTTAAGTGATGATATGACAGATTCTTAAGGTGGAAAAACTAGAAGCCTGCTCTGATCTCAGTCAGAGTATAGATTTATAAATTCTGTGTTCTTTTCCAAAAGTCTAGTAACACCGTTTGCCCTACTTTTTTAGGTAAAAGAAAATGAATTTAGGTAACAACACCTAGTTTATACCTATTTCTGCAACCTTTAGTCATTTCTCTTCAAGACCAGCAGAGGGTGCTCTTTACTTTGCTCTTGTTAACTTTGAAATTCAAATACATTGACGTGCATTCCAATTTTTATGATCTCATTATATGTCTAAAATTAACTTTCCAAGAATAAGTATTTATTTAATTTCATTTAGCCAGGTTATAGTTTAATTAAATAAAATCCATGATTTTTTAGTAAGGGTTATCATTAGTAATCATTAAAAATGGAGCATTTCTAGTTTTGTCCTAATTAATTACTGATTTCATGTTTCATTTTAGGATGGAGAAGAACTGGAAAGACTTACCAAACCCAAGAGTGATATTGAATCAGATGAAGATACTTTCTAAGTGGTACCCAAATAGTTGGCAGCTCTCACAAACATTTTCACTATGTGTGATGATTATCTTTTCACTTTGATAAACCAAGAACATTTCTAAAGCATAAAACTCTTTGCATATATATAACCATTCCCCAAATAATTCCACCCAAAGCTTAGAGGACCTAAAGGCTGAAAAGTTCTAAGGAACTGACATAAGTAATAGTATGGAGACTGCATTAATGACGTGATACTTAGTACATTGAGGGCTTACCGGGTGACACAGTGATAAAGAATCCATTAGAGGAGATGCAGGTTTGACCCCAGGGTTGAGAAGATCCCCAGGAGTAGGAAATGGCAACTTGCTCCAGTATTCTTGCCTGGACAATTCTTTGGACAGAGGAGCCAGGTAGGCTATAGTTCATGGGGTCTCAAAAGAGTCAGACGTGACTGACACCCAAACACTTAGTAAGTCAAGATATATTTGCAGATTATTTTCCTCTTCCACCATTCAAAAAAAAGCTTGTGATAATCATGTTAGCTTTACCCTATAAGTATACAAATAGAGATCAGTTTGCTAGATATTCATAATTGTGTAGTTCTGCTCTGCATGCCATAGTCTTCCCTTTTTTATCATTATAAATATCATTTACGTTGTCTTTTGAATTTTGAGGTCATGGAGATAGTCATTTTGTAATTGAAAAGCAATCTGACTCTTGCTAAAAAATTTGCTTGGAAGGCCACAACATAATTGAGAATAATGTAGTCTGTGCTAAATATTTTGCCAAAGAAACTAAATTTTCAACAAAAATATCAGAATTTTAATTTTTAGGAATTTTCAGGGAATTTTCTTTATTATCCTTTGATGCTTTTCTATACAAAAAAGCTTCAATTTAAGTGAAAGTTGGTTTCCAGTCCTGTTATCACTTGTATTTTACATCAATTAAACCAGCTGTGATGGGTTTTTTCTCCACAGTTTGAGCATGTTACTTTTGGATTATTCTATTTCAGAGAACTAATAAGCCACTTTTATTAGTTATTAAATAGAAGTTATGATTATTATATGTATTTATAGCATATTGTGTTCCTAAAGGTTAAGACACTGGCTTCAGATCATGCCAGACTGTTGGTAAAACTAGTGACGAAGAGTTCTTTTTAAGAGAGCCCCTTTGCAAACAAATGACTCTTACTGAAATCTGAATAGTGTTACTCTAAAAAGAGGAAGGCTAGTCATAAATAAAGCACTTTATAGTAACTTATTTCACACTTAAACTGCATGGTATTTTTAGAAGTATTTTTGCATGCATCCAATTGAGTCTATGAGTTAGAAAAGTCAGGTGATAGGTAATTTAAAAATGAGGAAACAAATGATTTGCCCAAGACTGTACAGCTGGATGGCAATAGGATAAGAGCTGACTTCAGCTAATAGGCCTGTGTGTTTACAGGGTACTATACTGTAAATATGAGCTTTATGGTATCATTTTCATACAGTTTGTATGTCTTTTTCCCCCTAATTTTCATGCAGATAAATATAAGATAATACTATTAATACATCTGTGATAGCCAGAATAATATGAATGGCAAGAGTTGGTGGAAATTTATAAATAAAATAATTATTAAACCCTTACCTTGTGTTGCCACTTTGTCATATGAGGTGGAATACAGAGTATTTTTAATTTCAAAACTTTTAAAACTTTCTCTTTCAGGAGATTTTGACTTCTGAGAATAACAAAATTCTTGCCTTAGTCATAGGTTTTCCATCAGAGTACTGTGAGCAGGAAGATTACCTTTTTATGGCAGTTCATTTTAAAGGCAAAGAAAATCAGCTCTAGGAAGACCTCACTTTGAAGAAATATACCTTACAAAACATACTTATGAGACAGATAAAATTACAACAATATTATTTGTGAAGGTATTGCCTACAGAATATATTAAATAGCAGATTCCACTAATTTGTATAGATTGATTTTCTCATTTACAGTTACTTTTTTTCACCCTCCTTTTTAGGAAAGAATTGCTTGCCTAAAGTAAGGTTTACTTGTGCTAACTTACAAATTAGAAGGAAGGAGCTGGAAGTAAATAAAATGTGAAGTTCTGATGTGGATGCACTGAAGTATAGTTGACGCCTCAACACAGGTTTAACCTGCACGGGTCCACTTACATGCAGATTTTTTTTTTCCAATAAATACGATACTATATGATCACTGGTTGGTTGAATCCTCAGCTACTTAACTGAAGATATGAAGGGCAGGCTGTAGGACTTGAGCATCCTCAGATTTTGGTATCCTCAGTGAGTCCTGGAACAAATCCCTCACAGATACCAAGGGACACCTGTATTTTATGGGTGCTACTGTTTTAATAATAAGAGAATAATTCTCTTTGTATCTTCGTAAGGTACGAAGCCTAGAAACCACACCCTATTATCTTGGATGTTCCTATGTCAAGTGCATTATCTGAGAAGAACAATGGTCATGTGGAAGAAGTAACTTCTTTTCTGTTCTAAAGAACAAGTTATAGGGTAATGCTTATTCTCTCCTTAGAAGAAGACTCTTCTAACAAATGGTACTTTCCAACAATGGAGAAGGCCCTCCTGAAGAGTGGTAGAGAGGAGTAGTAGACTCTATCACTGAAGTGTTAAGGAGAGATTGTATCAACCAGATGATTCAGAAGCAATTCTGCCATTAGTATAGAAGTTAGACTAAGTTATTTCCAAGGTCCTTTCCTATTTTTAGATACTCTTCTAAGCAGTTATGCCCTGCAACTAATGTGCTGAATCTGCTCTCTCCATAGTTTTTGAATAGCCTTCACCTGGACCACAATTATGTCCTGCAGTGACCTGACTCCAGCTCTGTCACTGGTCCTAGGATCAAACTTCTATCCAGGAATGCACCTAATCCCGAGGGGAAGCAGGGTGTGGCCATTGGTTGTAGAGGGAAAGATGGCTTAGACCCAGGATCCCAAATCCTTGGCCAGCTGTGCCCTGCTGCCAGATGTTTTCAAGGTTCATATGCAAAGGAGACTCTAAGGAAAGAGTTTCTTGTTTATAACTAAGGCTTTTTGTAAAAAGTCTGAATCCTCATGGGGAAGCAACAGCTTGGAGCTGAGTTAGACCGTGTATGGCTGGCAGGGAATCCTGCTCTTGTACAGGCCCAGCCTTGACCCAAAACATACCAGGTCCTCCTTGGCAAACTCTCCTTTTACTTAAGTCCTGATTTTTCTTGCAAACTCGCCATTCTTGTGTGGAGCAGAGGCAGAAAAACTCAAACCCAAAGGAAAGAGAGTTGTTTTCCTTCTCTAAAGCCTAGAGCAAGCTTTCTGAAATTAGGTAATATATTTGTTGCTGTTGTTTAGTCGCTAAGCCATGTCTGACTCTGCAACCCATGAACCCACCAGGCTTCTCTTGTCCATGGAATTTGGAGTGGGTTGCCATTTCCTTCTTCAGTAGCTCTATCTGTCCCAGAGATCGAACCTGGGTCTCCTTCATTGGCAGGTGGAGTCTTTACCACTGAGTCCCCAGGGAAGCCCCTGATAATAAATATCCCTCCTTTAAAATATCACAGATCTCAAGAGTTGGCCGTTTTCTACTTTACTATAAATGCATACAAACATAAAGTGTAAGCTTCTTGCTTATAGTTTTTATATGAAAACAGAACACTTAAAGAATAAAATTAACCAGTAAATTTTCAATTCAAATAGTTTAGTGAGAAGGTGTTATTTTGCTCAGATGAACTCAACAATAAGCTCCCTAACAGATCTGTGGAATTTCTGTCCTCACTTGTTTTACTTGCTTTATGCGCCATCCTGTCTCTGCCAAGATAGCTGAAACCTGCTGACAATGCTGGTAATGCATTTAATCCTGCTGCGATTTATCAATCCATGTCCCCAGCAATCCCATACGGATGTGGTGTGGGTCGAGCTGCCAACTCCCATTGCCCACAATGCCCTGGAAAGATTTTAAAAACATCAGCTTTATGTGTTCCCTGAAACTTTGAAAGAGCGCAAAAATAAAATCGCCTAGGCTTGGCACTTTTTTGATAAGTACCTTTTTCCCCACAGTGTTCTTTGTTTCATCTCATCCTCTCCTTGATTGACTCGATCATTTATATTTTAACCATCTAGGTTTTCAAATTTATTTGCATAGGAATTTATGAATCATTCTCATAATTCTTTTCATTTCCTTTTTTACTCTAGTTCTATATTCTTTCTCGTTTTTGACTGTTTGAATAGTGTCTTTTGTCTTTTTAAAAAAGATTAATGAGCAGTTTCTAAGTAATTTTTACTTTATTAAAGTTTATTATGAAAAAAAGATATCATGACACTTCACAAAAAAAATAGTTTATTATGCCCTGCTTTTCTAAAGTTTAATTTGTTGTTTTTCCATCTTATTTACTTCAAATGAATTTATTTTCTTTCTTGCTTAATGAACATGTTTATAACTAGTAGAAAAATTCTCTGGAGTAAGTAGACTCTAGCCCAAAAACTTTAAAATAGAAAATTGTCATTATTTTTCCAATTCTGTTTTGAGTCAAGAGCAGTGTCATTGAGGATTTTATTCATACTTTTGTTAATTTCTAGTTTTTATACACCTGGTTGGAAGGTGAGATCTATACTCTTCCTGTTATTTGCATATTTTATTGAATTTTTTTTATTGTTGTTTGACTCATCCTTTGTGTAAAAGCCTTTTTGAGAAAGTTGATACTGGGTTTATATTTTATGCCAATTTGAAAGTTTCTTGTTTTGATTTGCATTTCTCTGATAATGAGTGATGTTGAGCATCTTTTCATGTGTTTGTTAGCCATCTGTATGTCTTCTTTGGAGAAATGTCTGTTTAGTTCTTTGGCCCATTTTTTGATTGGGTCATTTATTTTTCTGGAATTGAGCTGCAGCAATACAAATCAGAACTACAATGTGGTACCATTACACGCCAGTCAGGATGGCTGCTATCCAAAAGTCTTCAAGCAATAAATGCTGGAGAGGGTGTGGAGAAAAGGGAACCCTCTTACACTGTTGGTGGGAATGCAAACTAGTACA